CGTGGGGCTGCTCTGCGCTGCCTCCCTTGTCCCATAGGCATTCTCTGCTCACTTTGGGAGGATGCCAGCTGACAGTGCCACGAGTCTAGCCCTTCCAAGACTTTTAGTTAGAAAAATTTTAAATAACGTTAGCCCGGACCTTCACAGTCCCAGAAGTGACCGGGGCCAGCTGGGTCAGGAAGGCTGAAGGTCTGCCTTAAGTTGCTGAAAATGTTCCAAGATAGGAGCTGCTGTGATGGACGTATCTTCCTTTCTGGCCATACAGAGGCCTAGATGTCAGGGACATACTTGGCAGGAACCAGCAAGTGACCCGTTTCCCTTCATTTAAATCAGGTGTCCTAAGTGCACACCTCCTCTGGGAAGTTTAGGGAAGGAAGAAAGAGAGCTTCATGTGCTATTTATTTTTATTTTTTATTTATGTATTTATGTATTTATGTACTTATGTATTTATTTATTTTAGCTGAGCCATCCTGCCACCTGTTGGCAGCTTAGTGGCAGCTCAGCTCAGACTGGGAATTGAACTGCAGTTGCTCAGAGCTTGCACTCTTGAGCGAGCTCTTAACCAACTCAGCCACTCGGCCGGCCCTCATGTGCTATTTTTTAAATAAGTGCATCAGTGAACCAGTTTCTTCCTTCCCTCATTACTCACATATTCATCCATGCAGCAAATATATTTATGACACTGAGTGTAAAGGTTACTGAGATGAACTCATGTCTGGTTCCCAAGGTGTTCACAGTCCAGTGGGGAAAAATGATCTGAACAAACAGTTGTCTGAATAGGAAACTTAAAATTGTTGTGACAATGAGCCCTCATTGTCTGCAAGGAAGAACTTCAGTTAATGTCTAGGGAATGTCCAACTTAGACTTAAGGACTTTTATTTAATATATTTTTCAACTTCCTTAGATAGACCCCCCCATGATGTAATATACAAATAGAATCATATCTCTTGAAAAGGGTTTCAATATGGTCATTTCTATGCAGGCTTTTTTTGCACGAGTGTAATGATATAAAGAAACATAGACCTAGGATCCATCATTGTCAAGCAGCTGTTTTGAGGATTGGGTTTCTGATTGTCTGTTATTCTAAGATGATGGATTTGGTCTGCCATCTAGTGATTATGAATTGAATTCTCAGAACTAAATGTAAAAGCGCATAAGCTTGATGAAAAACAAATCTATAAGGATGTTTGAGAAACACAGGACGATTGAGTTACTGTCAAATAAAATGTGGTCAAATAAAAATACATCTCTTCTCTCTAAGATATTGGTGCCAAGACGTTTTACAGTGACTTCACAATGGATTGGTTCAATTTGCTAGAACATTTGGTAAGGGTAAAAGAATCCTATAGCTTGGAAGATAACATTTTGGAAGTTATCACACCATGGAAGATTACAAATTAAGGGCAATACTATCAGATATATACCAGTCCTCCTCAATTTTAGGAAAGTTAAAGAAACATAACTGGCAAAAATACAAGTCTCACAATATTGTAGTTTCACAATTCTTTTTCAGGTTTTTATCAAAATATTTGTTTACCCACGCATTTGAAGACCAATAATTTTTTTTTTAAGTTTTAGGCCTTCGATAAGTGTTAGTGTCAGATTGCATTAGTTTAATGATTTGGGCAGAGGAATCAGAAGGGTGGTATTGAATCTCTCAATGTCGTATGAAAATTCTTATTTAGTTATTTTTTATAACATGTCCTTCATAAAACAATTATGTCACAACAACTTTGCTGCAAATTGGTTGCAACTGTGCTTTCTATTTTACTTTTCTTTTCCTTTAAATAAACATCTAGGAAGAAAACAGCAGGGACAACCTAATCATAAGGTGCACAATTACCATGTACAAACCTGACAGTAGCAGGACACCCTGTATTTTCTACCCAGTGTTTCTTTGTGCACGTCTTTCATTCAGACATGAACAATAAGAGTTCACTGGGTTTTCGAGCCCTCTGTGATGTGCACGAATTCTTCTGCTGGGGAAGAGAAGGCGGGGGTTAGCAGCGAATGTGGTTTTTCATCTCCTTGCCATTTAAAAGCATTCCAGCTCACTTGCCACATCATCTTAAATTTAATTATAAATTCTCAAGGGAAAAGGACCTGTGATGACTCAGAGTATAAAACTAACTTTTAACACTGTCATTTAAAGAAAGTAATACAGTGGCCTGCTTCTTTGCTCCTTGGATTGAGGTCATGCTGCCTTAGACTTTCAGGGAGAAACTGACCTTCTGTGAGTTTACACAGGACTGAGAGAATGTATCCAGCCCTGAAGCAGCTGCAGAGAGTGAGATAACTTGCCCTTGAAGAGTCTCTCACACATTTAAATGATATTTAATTGATAACTATTGCATGTCATCTTATTTATTATTTGATTGCTGTTCATATTCTCTATTTCCACATATCTAATTGTTTTATTGGTGCAGTTGAAATCTTCTTCACAAAGATAATACATATTTTTGAGAACAGAACACATATACTTTCAATATTTTGCATATGCAGTGCTGGGCACATACTCACTTAATACTTAGTAAATACGGGTGAACACTTTTGTCCTCCAGGGTGTGGGAAGGTGGAAGAAATCTAATTGGATTTATGACATATCTCATTTTCAGCCAATGGTATTTAGTGCTTGTGATTGGATATTTCTTTCTCAATCATAAAACTTAATGAACAAGGCTATTTTTAATTTATTTACTTAATGGAATTGTTCAATGGACTATGGATGTAAGTCCATTTCCATATAGGTTGTGTTTTGTAGAAATGTTCATCATGGAACGACATTGTTTCAAAGTGATTTTTCATCTAAAAGTAACACTGCTTATTTGACATACAAATTTCTATTTTGTTTTTCAAAACAACCCTGCAAGAAAGCATATTAGAGCAGGAGATTCCATTTTCTTCTTGATTTAAAATGCCTATAATAGCATTTTAAAGAGCTGTATATAGTATACACAGCCAATGTTGTTTTATTGAGTAGTTATGTATTATGTGATAAACATCATTTTAATGAAAATGAAACAGATTAAAAATTTTGTGCTCTTCTTATGAATAGCACAGAACCCAGGATGTGGTGTCATGCTCTGAAAACAATTTCCCATTTGCCAAATATCTGTGATGAAAGACTAAATATGTGCAACAAAGTATTCCATAGAGCAGTGAGAAGAGTATTATCCAAGTAAAACTTTCTAAAGCTAGGAAGATGGATATTTGGGTTAATGCCTTTATTCTAAACTGAAATCATTTTCATCTGTAGTTCTGTATTGTGATTTGAGTATGTTTATTGACAAATGATAATTTTTTTTATAAACCAATTTCAAATGCATCTTGCATCTTTTATTTTTTAGTTTAATTTTTGTAAAGTACAATGTTAACGCTAGTGCAATTAAGTTAGTGAACCATAATTTAGGTTCATTTATTCATTGATTCATATCCATCCATTGAACAAGTATCTGTTGAATGTTGGCTCTGTGCAAAGTATGGAGTCAAGCCTGAGAAATACCATGATGAACAAGACACACTAGTCCTTACTTTCATGGAGTTTACTGTCTGGTAGAGGAGATAAGGAAATAAGCAGACAAAAATAAATCGATACTAATTGTGATAAATTTTATGAGGGCAGTGATTTTTGCCTATCTCTTCACATTTTAGGAACTGTTTAAGTACCTTACATATAATAAAAAATGAATAATTGGATAGATGAATAAATGAGTTTTGTAAAGAGTTTTGGGAAGCGTATCCATTGGGTAAAGGAAGCCTACTTTTGTTTAAGTGTGCTCAGAGAGTTGTGGGGGCAGGTCACAATTAAATAAACCATAATAGTGAGCTATGGGAACGTGAGATCAGGGAAAGAGGTAGCAACAAAGGGATGAAGTTGCGCAAGGACTAGGAGGGGAGGGCTGTTGGGCTTTAAAGAGGAGTTTAGAATTTCAGTTGTTGGGGAGCTCCTAAAGGAATTAAGCAAGGATGATGTGATCTACATTATGTTTTTTTGTTTGTTTGTTTGTTTTATTGTTAGTTTCAGGTGTACAGAACAATGCAGTAGTTATCCTCTTCACCCTCACAGAGTAACTATCCCCCTCCCCCCTAGATTATGTTTTAAAATACTATAGTTTTGTTTCTTAAAAATCACAAAGATGAAATATATGTGTTTATTTTATAGTAAATGTATAATAGAATTGCTATTATTGTGTGTGTATATATCACCTAAATCTGCATTAAATTTTTATCTTAATATAGAAAAGTATTTGGCAGATATTATGTTATAGCTTACCATTTGTTTTGGTCATGTCTTTCCTTAATTTTGATGCAAAGATAATTCATGCATTACCTGTGTAGCTTCGCATTTCCTTTGCTGTTTAGCAAGCATCTTTAGTTTAGGATGTCTAATGTAAATCTATTCCATGAAATGGGACATAATTATTCTTTTTTTGCCTTATGTTTAAAACTAATTTTAATAAATCTACACACATCTTTTTAAATTTTTCTTCATGGTACTTGAATACATAATGTCTTCTGTTGTTGTGGGATTTACTAATCTAAAGTTTCTAGTGAGCTGAAAGTACCAAAGCATTTACCAAACACTGAAGTTATATATTCTTTTTAGACCTATTATTCTTCTCTCCGTTTTCACATGGTTTATTTTTATCTCTCTTTACTGATTTTTCCACGTTTGGTTATTTACACTTTCCAAAATGAAATATTTGGGGGAAAGTTTCTCTGTTTAGATATACCTACTTTGGAACACTTTTTTTTTTTCTTCCCCTATAATACTAGGACATAAGTATCATAATCATTTTATCATGAATTACATATTGCTTTGTATGTAAATACTAAATTAAGTAATTTCATCTGTGTTTTGCATCCTTGGGTGGTTACTGCTTAGCCCAGAATTTTTTAGAACCCACAAGTTGATTCACCTTCTTAAATATTTTCCAGATTCTGAAATTTCAAAAGATTTCTAACTTTTCTTTTTTTCTCCTTTTTTCTTTTTATTCTAGAAGGATATGGTGAAGAAATAGCCTGCACTCAGAATGGTCAGATGTACTTAAACAGAGACATTTGGAAACCTGCCCCTTGCCAAATCTGTGTCTGTGACAATGGAGCCATTCTTTGTGACAAGATACAGTGCCAGGATGTGCTCGAATGTGCCGACCCTATTACTCCCTCTGGGGAATGCTGTCCTGTCTGTCCACATACAACTGGAGGTGGCAATACCAATTTTGGTAAGAATGCTTAGAGCCAACTCAGAATTGATCCAGTGACTCATCTTTACAGTTGCAGTGGTTTTTGCTCTCAGAATTCAACAATTCAAAAGAATAATTAGGCCACTATTCAGTGGTCTTTGGGGTTAATGATTTTGCTCGCTCACTTTGTCTAAAATTAGTGAGGAGAGAGTGATTTCTTTCGTTTTTGAAAACCAGGGACATTTTTGGCTTTTGAGTGGTGATGTCTAATTTGAGAATTCCTTGTACCACTTAAGATGGTCATTTGTTACCCTATCCATGCTGATTGCCACCAAGATTTTTGACGGTTTTCTGTGAAGTTCATTAATGTTCTAAAAGGAGATCTAGAAAACACATAGATCTTCCCTGCTGCCAACTTTGCCTTTGGGAATGGAATAATTATTTCCAATGTAATTTAATGTCACAGCACCCTCTAATACATTAGCTCATAAATGCAGAATGCTTTTAATGTTGGTTAAGAAAGAGAAGGAAATGGATTTCCTGGAGAAAACAACGATATAAATTATTAGTTTTTAAAACTTTTTTGAATAAAAGTTTTTGTGTTTAATACAGACTATGTATTTGATTACATATGTTAAAGAGACTTACATATATGAGAAACAAGTTTATGTGTTTTAATGAACAAGGTAAGGTTAATATTAAACTTTTAGGTTATTAGCAGTCATGAAGAGAGGCTTGTATACACGATTATCAAGACAGTGTCAAGGCTTTATTTGTCCCCCAAATTCCATTGCAAATAATAGCAAATATATGAAGCATTCAACATTATAGTCATGGAAACTTCAGATAGTAATTTACCAATTCTCCTCTTGTATATCATTCAATAGTAAAACATGTCTTGAATAAATACCTGAATTCAATTTTTAGCAATGTTTATATGGGAGCTATAATGGGAAGAATTAAAAACAAGACACCTAAGGGCTACCTGAATCAGATGCAATCTGCAAAGGAGTCCCAAGGAATGAAGTAAAATTAAACATGTAGGGGTAAATAAATACTACGTTAGGACATGGTGACGAAACAAAACAAAACAAAACCGAAAACAAAGCAAAATCACAACCTCCTGCAAATAACTAACTTTGGAAACCCCAATTCATTCCCAGATAAATAGTTAAAAAAAAGAGTTGACAACATATTGACACAAAGATACTATAAGATACTATAAAAAAAGTAGGAGAGTTTAGTTAAATTTACATGATAAAGAATGCACCGACAAATATATTACCACAGAACAGATAAAAATTCTGATAACCATTTCACCAGAAACTAAATAAAATAATAAAGTAATTGCCTCTTTACTTTATTGAGAAAGAAGACCATAAATTTAAAATATACATAAACACACCTAAAAGGTAATGATGAGGAAAGAAGTAGAAGGAAAACCAAAATTATCATAGGAAAATTAAGATGAAATAGAAAGGAGCACAAGGAGAATTGATACAGTGAGGGCTATAAAAAATAGTAATGAGAAAAGAAAAAAGATTTAAAAAGATTTGAAAGGAAATGATGGATATAGAAGACAGGTAAAGGATGGCCCTGAAGAAGAATCTTCAGAGAAGAAATATATGCAATGGAGTAGAACAAATAATGATATGTCATACATATAATAATATAATACAAGAAAACTTTTCTGAAGTAACATTAACTTTAATTTTAATATTAAAAAGGCAAAGCAAATGTCTGAAAAAGTTGACTTGGAAGAGTCAATACAGACCTTAGTAAAGTTATTAAACTTTAAGGAAAAAGAATCTTGTGAAAATCAGAGAAAAAGGATGTTTAAAAGTAGAAACATTCTCTCTAAGCTCAGAGATAGAACAGGGATATTCATTAACACAACAACAATTTAACATTATTGAATGAACAAACAATTAGAAAAAATGAGTTAAAAGTTTAGAAATAAGGAAAGAGGAAGTAAAACCATCAATTTGCAGAAAATATAATCAGGTACTTACAAAGCTTAAGGGAATAGAGTAAAAAAAAACTACAGAAATGAAAGATTTTAGTAAGCTTGCAGTGTAAAATAAACAAATTAATAGATTTATTATATGCAATTACCTCATAAACTATATAATGGGAATAAAAAAACACCTCATTTATAATAGCAACAGATAGGATAAAGTGGCTGAGGATAAACTTAATATGAAATGTTCAAGATCTATCTGAAGAAAACTTTAAAACACTAATAGCTCAAATAATGACTTTAGTAAATAGAATTTTCTCTTATGTTCTTGTTGAGGAAGAGTAATCATAGGAAAATCAATAGTGGCCTCCTATGGGGGGAGTGAAATGTGGGAAATAAGGAAAAGGAGACAAGATAGAAGATTTTATTTTTTTATTGCACAGTTACATACTTTTAATATGTTTTGACTTATTACCCATATGAATGAATTGCCTGCTCAACAAAATATAAAAAACAAAAATAGACAGTATTGATGGAAAATAATTCTTTATAATTTTAATTGTTATTTTTATAATTTAATGAACTTTAAATGCTATATAAATGATGTGGAAAATATTCAGATAATGTCAAAATTTTCCAAAGTGGTATATTATTTTGCCTCTTTTGGAAATATTGATCCAAAACAACGTTTGAGTTCTGCTTACTGGTGATTAGGCAATCTGTTTAAGTTATATTCTAACTCCATAAAAATGCTATTATTAAAATAAATATTTAGAAGGTTCAAAAATTTTTTTCTGCATAAAATAACATATTTATTCTTTTCCTTTTATAGGTAGAGGAAGAAAGGTAAGTTTTACTTTTCTATTAGTAAGTAAAAGTTTCATTTTTGTAAATGTCGTTTTCATTCTAGTACTGTCTACACAAGACTATGCTTTGAAATGTTTGAAAATCTTTTGTGAACTACAGAGTACCCTGCAAATATAAATATATGAGTATCATTCAGCTATTTTGCTTATAGGTTACGGGATGTCTTTATTTTATTTACTTTGTTAATTTTTGTTTATAGATATTTCTTCCAGAAGGTTATGCATTCCTTAGGGATTAAGATTGTCATATTTACCTTTGAATTACTTGCATTTATCACAGTGCTTAGTATAAACCTTACAAATATTTGAAGTGCAGTAAACATTTAATTGAAGGAAAGAAGGAAGGAAGGGAGGGAGGGAGGAAGAGGAAGGGGAAGGAAGGATAAATAACCTATGAAATAAAAAAAGAACTGACAGTGATAACAGCCCTGAAATAATCAGTTTAATTCATTTAATAGTCACCCAACTTACTGAAGAACAACTGTTAGGCTATGTTGTTTAGTTGACTGCCTTGTTTTCAAAGGCAGTGTGGGACAGCTGGGAGGAGGACACACTCAAAGCATTTGCCAATTTTGCACACTGTAGTTATGTTCCACTGCCTTCATGATTCTATCATTTATTATCAGGTGTCATCAGAAATATGAGAGCAGAGTAATACTATAAAAATACATTTTTGCTTGGTTTATATCAATATTGATTTTTATTTATAATTTATTTGTTCATTCATGTTAAGACCCAAATAATTACTGAGCTTTTATTATAACCCATGTGAGGCAAATGTACAGATGACATAATGGTGGGAAAAACAATGTGATTGTCTCCATGGCAATGGCATCCTATAAAAGTGATGAGGCATGTCCACATAGCATTAAATGATGAGTAACAGACAAGAAGTAGAATTAAACTATAATTCTCATCTAAATCTGAGTACTTGAATGGATATGAAAATCAAGATGAGTTAAACTTTAGATTACTCATCTTTCCACATATATTAATGTATTCAAAGCCCATATTAACAAAGTCGACAAATATTTTCATCTGTGGCTTATTTCCAAAATAAGAAGTATCATAGAACCATTAGACAAATTTATTACAGAACCTGATAATGAAATACTTAATCCCATATCAAATATTATGGAAAGATAGCTCATAATAAGATATCACGAAGCCTACAATTTAGCTAAGAAAGACATCAGCAGATCTGCTAAATACAAAGAGCAAAAGCATGCATTTTTGTTGTTGTTGGTCTCTTAGGATGGAAATTTCACAACCATTCTTATCAGAGTATTCTGTTTTTCTCATTTTGGCTGAAATAATTTCTCCTCCCTTTTAACTTGTTTTTCTAGACTTGACCCAGAAAGGAACATTTTTTTCAGGATCATTCTCCTAAAGTTCTTCATTTATTGGACACATATTTCTAAACAATTCGAATTCTTTCAGTGTTTCAAAGAGAGCTCTTATAGCTCTTTAAGGGTTAATTTTTGTGACTTTCACATTATGTTAACAATGGAAAGACCCAGTCTAGAAGTTAGCATATGTGGTTCTGCTTTGCTGCCCATGTGTGCTGATCCCTTATTCCACTAGTCCTTGTGTAGGTTGTCTTGTAGTCTCATGTTCTACCTCGAACTTACGCATATAGAGCTCCTTCCTGCTTCTGTAGAACCACTTCCATTTCTGAATTCTCAATTTACTCCTGACTTCCAGAGTATTAGCTACCTTAACATTAGAATCAGCAAGTATGATCACGGTATTGCTTGGCCATTGAGTCCATCACTGACTATCAAGATTGTAAAATAATTTTAAAATTTCACTTTGCAAAATATTTTTAGGTGTGAGATACTGTTGGAAAGATATAATCAGATTGTGCCTTTTGGGATTATAATTTGGTGATCAAAAATATGTATGATCTTTAATCTACAACTTTAACTTCTAGAGATATATCATAAGGTATTAGAGATGTCACACAAACATTTATAAACAAGGATATTCATTGTAATGTTATTTTTAAAGGAGAAATTAAATAAAATAGAACAAATTACTCTTGCTTTTTCTACATTTTGGATATTTTTATTAATATATTTATCCTCTGTAATTGCCTAATAAAAAGCATTGTTTCATAATATATTAATGAAAATTAACATAGTCAAGAAGAATTTATTGAGAACTTCTGTTCGCCACAACCAAGGATGTAAAGTGGATATGCTCATGACCTTGGGGGGACCAAAATCTGTTGGATGGAAGACAAATTCTGAAATAAATAATACAAGTAAATATGTGATAAAATGGACATATAAAGGTGCAATTTATTCAATATTATTTAACCTATGTACCTGACATCATGCTATGAGAATATAATTTTTGAGAATCTAAAGTTCTAAGAATCAAAATAAATTCCATCTACATTTGTTGTATGTACTACATCTGTTATTACTTTTATTTTTCTGTTCAATTAATATGTTTTTCTAGGACTTCCTCAGATACTGAGAATTATGTGACTAGTGTTATCATGACATCTGATAAGTTACTGAAAACTAAGTGGCATGTATTATTAGTGTGAAAATTCAAATATATCCACATTTCTGGATTTCCTTTTGTGTTTTTAGTCTTTGGGTAGTTTTAACTATGGTGCATTGACTTTATATCTTTTCATCACAAACATTTTTTGGTCTAGTATACTCTTTGAGTTTAATTGCTATAAAAACTGAAGCAAAAAACTTTACACATTCCACACATTGGATTTCTTTTCTTTTCATGTCTTTCAAGTGAGTAGTATTTTTTCTCATGAATAATATCTGACTAAATATCCTAAAACTGATTACATTTTTTCTCAATTTTGTATATTTCTCACATAGAAATTCCTAGTGTTTATATAGAATATTTTAGTGTGATATGTTCATGCACAACAAGCCATTATATTTTGCTAATTGAACTTTTTTTTACTTCATAGGGACAAAAAGGAGAACCAGGATTAGTGCCTGTTGTAAGTATACTTATATATGTATTGTTTCTATGTACCTTTAATAAACTTAGCTATAGTATAGTTATATATTATTTCATATATATATATATATATATATATATATATATATACACACACACACTCAAAAAAAAGGAAATTCGTTATTTTAAACCACATTTTTAGTATAAAATAAGCAAACCAAAATAGATTTTAAAAAAATACAATATGTATGTTAGTATAATATGTAATATTTACTAAATACAATTTTGAATATTAACAAAAATAGAATATTTATTTAATACCAAATTTAATACAATATTCCTGATTTGTATAGTCTCATTACTATAGGTGAAAATTGGGCTTTTCTAAAATTAAATATATTGCATGTGAATACAAAATTATAGTTAAGATGTATATTTTTTATAGCAAAAATAGCATGTAACCCAAATAAAAAGGTGTGATTTAATGTTCTGTTAAGGGACAGAGTTAGGACTTGAACCCAGGCCTCTTGACTCTAGCATCAGTGCTCTTAGTTACTATATGAAGACTGTCTCCTATATTAGAGTTTAAATTAGATAATGTCTTAACTTATAAGGCAAGAAGCAAAAAGGCATCAATTGGCAACATCCATTTGTTTAAAAAAAAAAAAAGAAATCCACTGGGGCTTTTGTTATTATCCCTATTTGTTTGACTATTGACTTTTCTAAAACTCGTTAGGAACGTCATCTTCACAGACTATTTTGTTTGTTGTTTAGGTAACAGGCATACGTGGTCGTCCAGGACCGTCAGTAAGTAGTTTCCTCCAACATTCGTAGTACTCTTAAGTTCTTTGAGATACTGGAAATCCTTACAGATATCATACCCATGAAAAGACCATTGAATGTAAAACACTGATGTTTGGTTTCCTGAAGCATTTTGTCTTGATACAGGTTCAAGTTTAGGCATTCTTTTGCAGCAATAAATGACACATAGGGGGTCATTTCATTCTGAAATTGATGAACCCTATTATTCCTCAGGTGTTGGTGTTACTGCTGGTTATGTGAAAGGCAAAGCTGTCTATTGTTACACTGCTAATTTTAGATTAACCTTACTTGTTGAAATTAGGGCATACTTGTCTGTTGACAATGATTGAGGGTGGATTACTTTTATCGGTTTAATGAAACAAAATATTAATTTCATTGGTTAATGAAATTAAATCATATAGCAGTAGACTTTGCGAAATTATACATCAGAATAACATATTTCCTGTTTAGCATACAAGACTACTGATTTCATATTTGGCTTAGCAGTAGCATTCATAGGTAACTAGATGGATAACACACACACACACAAACACACACACAATTTCTGCAGATTTTAAAACATATTAAACCAAGATAAGTAAAATATAAATATACTTTAATAAATATGCTTTAGTCCCCTGAAGTATTTGCTTTTTAAACAATGCTGTATGTTGGATTGAGTAAATTATATCATCTTATTTTCATAACTCAACTGAAACTCCCTTTTGAAGAGAAATAAAATTCTCCTGGCAACTGTAATTTTCTAGGAAAAAAACCCACTAATTTAAGATATTAGCACAATGATGCCGCTTTTGAAATACAATAATCATTTGTTATTATAAGAGAGGAATAGCTGCAATTACCACTTGGAAAATTCTAAGTGGGTTTTAAATATACAATGGACATGATGCAACATTTGAAATGAAGTAGAAAAAAATATTCTTTAAGGCTTATAAAGCAGTGGTGGAATGAGAGGCTTTTCTTTCCATTGCTTTCTTCAACAGCTTGAACTGTGATGAATAATTTGGGGGTATCTTGTACCAATATAAACTCATAAATTCTCTCAGATGATTGATAATTTGGGAAGGTTCACACATCTAGGTAATTCTCAAAATCTGAACTTTATGTTTTTGTGGCCATAATCGAGTGGCAAAATCTTGTCTGGGAAAAGACAGCAAAAATGATCTTTACAAATATGCATTTACTGTTCAAACTGATATGTTCAGCTCATTGGGCTCCACAATGCTGTAATGTAGCATTTAACATTTTACAGGCCTTTAAGCTTCACTGCTGACACAACCAGCCTTTTGTGCACACAGAGCTTTTATATGTATATGGCTTTTTATTCTATAGGCTTAAACTGAACTGAATTCAAAGAGAAGGGTGATCTGTTTCCCAAATTTTTTACATCAAGCAAATTTTAAAACAAAAACATCTGAAGTACACGTTTTGCAGGCATAACCATTGTTTTCTGTTTTAGGGACCTCCAGGATCACAAGGACCAAGAGGAGAGAGAGGCCCAAAAGGAAAACCTGTAAGTTGAGAGTGGAGTTCTCTTTTCGTGAATCGTACTGGGTAGTGAGTGAGTAAGCCTGTCTACAGGATGTAGCAAAGAGCCCATGAGTGTTCCTCTTTCACCTCTATTAAATGTGACTGAAAATTCAGGACATGAAGTGTTTGTGTAGCTCTCCTGATTCAGAAGAAATTGCCACATGCTAATAATTATCTATCTTTTCAGATAACATGAATGATATTTCTTTGTCTTTATGAGGTCAACTTAAAATAAAGTGGAATCTAAGGAAGCATAATGAATACCTCATGTTGTTTTCAGTTGTAACTCATGAGTAAATAATGCCAAGAATGTACTGTTGAGATAAAACACCCAAGTTCTGTGATCTGTGGTTGCTACAAGAATATAACCAAATTGGACAGAGGGAAAAGAAATTACTAGAGGACAAAATTTTCATTCAAGTGGTTGTATAATGCATTTATTCCCCAAGTAACACTCTGCCTTTTTCATTGAACAGCTGCGATAGACTATCAAAGCAGTAACTTTAAAAATCAAGAAATCTGTTACCAGAACAAAGGGAGCACCTTTAAATTAAAATAATCAACTCTTGAGATAAAATATGAGAATATTATACAATATATGCCAAATGTTTTCTCTTACTACCAACTCCTAGGATAGCAATTGTTTTTCTTTTTTATATCTCACCCTCAAAAATGAATCTTTCATACATTAAATAACTGGATTAAACTGTGGATTACTATCATTATTTTATGTTTTAAACAGAAAATTTGGTGCTGTTTAATTTTTCTGTATAATGATATCTACTAAACTTTAGCTCTCTATGGATTTTTAACCTTCTAAATATGTATGTATCCATATCTAAATGGGATCAATAGATGAGCAAGGAAGCCTCAAACAACTTTGAATATATAAATGAGGGTAAACCATTTTAGATCATGTCTCTAGGAACTCTTGCCATTTGTTTCATCTCTGATGCTATTTTATGCTTGTACACATTTCATCAAGTTAGTGTGATACCAGTACTTTTTCCATACTGGAGCTGGAATTATGGATGGTATTTGCAGGCATGTAGGCAAACAACAGTGCCCCAAGGAAGTGGAGCATAGCTACATAGTGGGCAGCATGGTTGTGTTCTGATGATCTGTGCTCCATTCTTCATTGCTGTTCTACTGAGCTGTCTCACCAGTGTTGGTAGCTTAAACACTGTTGGCAGCTCTTCAGGTGTCTGCCCAGGGTCTAGAATGACAGAGACAGGTGGAGGAGGGGATGAGGGGAGGTGGTCATGCCAACAACATTGTGTATCCATGTGCTTGCACCCAGAAAAATTAGTAATGCCGAGTCCCTAGTCTAGGTGGAAGTTGCTATGGAAATAGTGGTTGGACGTCCAGAATTCCTTGTTAGGATTCAGTGAATCTACTCCTTACTTTGCTTGCCTTGCCTTGCCTCACCTTCTCTCCCCTCGCCTTTCCTCCCTTCCCCTCTCCTCTGAGTTAGTATATGATGTGCTCCATTTCCTATCTTGATTAGGCCTGAAACATTCAATGAGAGGTGTGTGTGTGAGTGTGTGTGTGTGTGTGTGTGTGTGTGTGTGTGTGTGTAGTAGCTATTTATTTGGAATTAAGCAAGGCAATCCTAGCAGATACCCAAGTAGGAAATCTGCTCCTCTCTTAATCCTAGCAAGCAGTGGTGTGATGGTAAGTGTTTAACAACTGACTCATCAAACAAAAGAAATGCGCCCATTGCTTTTTGCTGATTTCCTTGGTGTAAATACTCCCACCATGGCTGATTTCAAGATTCTGGCGTGATGTCACAAAGTACCCATAGGTAGAATCTCTTGCCTCAGGTCCCAAGACTTGCAGGAGCTGCTTAACTTGACTAAAGCTATGGCTGGCACACTATAAGGTGGTAGGTACTGTGATCGTAAATACCAGCCCCCCCTCCCCCACTTCCGTTACCATCAAACACAATGGTAATGTGTTTATGTAGAGCAATGTGGAGCAGTTTCTTAATCTCAATACTGTTGCCATCTGGGGCCAGATAGTTCCTTATGCATTGTAGAATGTTTAGCAGCATTCCCAGTTTCTACCCACTGGATACAAGTGGCAACACCTACCTGTTCCCCACCCCTCATACAATTTTGATAACTAGAAATGTCTCTTGACGTTGTCAAATGTCCCTAGGGGGTGGGGTGCAAAATTGTACAGGGTTGAGAACTACTGATCTAGAGACACTCTAAAGAGGCTTTCTTTACTAGCCAATGATCATCGTGACTGCCTCTGATCACACATCCTTAATTTGAAGTGTGTTATCCTGGCAACTTCACGGTGACGGCAAACTAGCAGCCTGTCAGAAGATGGACCGCCAATGGTGTGCAGAGTTCTAATTATACATGACACTTAACCTCTATAGGTCTGTTTTCTCATCTGTAAAATGGGAAATACGCCAGTTCTCACCAACTCTAACATTTTGTAATGTGTGTGTGTGTGTGTGTGATTCTACCAACCAGCAGTGACTAAAGTTCTTGATTCTGGGTGATTATTATTCCTTCTACTTGTGGATGTTTAAAGGTCGCCACCTAGTGGCAATCTGCGAATACTTTTTATTGTAGATGGCTTCCTGAGATACTAGAGTGCCCTGCGGGATGGGAGGGAATGATTATAAACAGAACATTAAGTTTAATATAAAATTTATGTGATTCAGCTCACTTGTAAATATGGAAACACATGTTTTCAGTGGTTTCCCAAATTATAATTTTTGTTTTCAATATTTATTAGTAAAAATGCTCATGTATTATAATATTTTTCTTATTTTTTCACTTACAACCTTGCTTTTTTAAAAAATATTTTTATTGGGGAATTGGGGGGATGGGAACAGTGCTGGGGAATTGGGGGAAGGGGAACAGACAAGTTGCTGTCGTTTTGTTCTTCAGTCTAGTTGTGGAGGGCGTTGCTTCACTGGCCCAAGTTGGCACCATCATTGCGCTCTTCCCGGGTGAGGCACATCAGTCGCCAGCTTCTGGATGGCCGCTCACTGCGGCTGATGGCTACATATGGTAGCCCATGGCAACCCAGTGCCACAGGGGCTGCAGCCTGCGCTGTCGCCAGCGACTCACGGCAGCCCAGCTCCAGGTCGAGCTATTGTTCAGCATCTTAGTTGTAGAGGGCAGTGTCACTGGCCCTCATATGTGGGATCTGAACAGAGGCCCTCTGACGTCCCAAGCCAGCTCTTAACCATCGCGCCACTCGGCTGGCCCACGACGTTGCTTTTCATATTCACTAATTTTCTATAACTTTCACAAGGTTTTATTAATTTTAGTCTCAATCTGCATAAGAGTACATCATGTAAACTATTTAAAGGAGATGCCATGGATACACAGAATGCATCATGAAGTCAATGAGAAAGTGGGTTGTATTCAGAGCCGACTTTGAAACATAATTATTAACCGCAGATGGCTAGAAAAAGGACACAATTTTTTGAGGATTTATATTACCCAAATGTCTCTAAATTCCCATTGGCGCCACATGTAGATTTTGGTTTTGTCTTTGGAAATCTCTTTGGAAGAAGAAATGATGTTTGGGTTAGTTTTTTGTAAATAACAATAGCTGGTTCTCAGTTAGCAATTTCACATTTCAAAAACGCATTAGAAGTTTTCCACACAGCGCTCTCTGAGTAGGTCAGACGACTATTTTGTCTATACAACCATTGACAGTATACATTTCCAGTTCATGTTGCCCACACGCATATGATCCAGGAATCCTAGGTAGCAATTAAAATCAGTCTCCATTATATATAATGAAAAGAGTTCAGTGAATTTTCAGTGGTCAGAAAAGAAGTCAGAAAAGGTTTGATTTCTAAAGGATGAAAATAATTTTCTGAGAAATTAGTTTTCAAACAGTGAGTTTTTCAGGCTAAATTATCTCCTTGTTTTTGAATAGACACAGCTGCTTATTTATTCCACTTCTCTAGGAAGTAAACATTCTCTATGAATGTTTGAATATGTTAAAATATATTAATTAAATTTCTGAAGAGCTATTATGCCACTGTCTTCAAAATCATCATATACAAGCTGCCTTCTCCTACTTCAGCGTCTCCTATATTTACTCTTTCTGCTTTATTAGCTCATATGTCAATCGCTTATTGTGGGCCAGTAGATATTCTCATGTTTAGGTATGAGAGTTTCTTTTATTGTTAAACTCCAATTCATTTACCATATTTTTCTTAGTCCCTGCTTCTAATTATAAAAAATATATTGGCTTTTGAGTTCTTTGGTCCTGTCTTTCTTCTTAAAATGTAGTAAGATTCTTCAGGGTTAAAAAGCCAGAAAATACTTAACAAGACTTGTGGAAATGATGAGGTTGGGGAGCTAAGCAGTTCCAGAGCCGAGGATGTGGCTGTTCCCCAAGCTGTCTTCAGAATGTAGGTCAGGAGGGTGGAATTTGGCAGCTTGAAATCATTGCTCACTTCTCTGAGAACTGGACTTGGCTGGGTCACTGTGCCTTTCCCTCTATTTCTATTGGTCTGGTCTACCTTTGGAGGTGGTAAGGAAAACAAAGTGTGCTAGACTTCAAGTACTAGAGTAATGGGGATTGAAATGTGAAAATGTAATTAACATATATGGAGTGTCTGCTATGTGCCAGGAGCTATGCGAAGCATTAAAAAATTAGAAAGCTGCAAAAAATCACAAACTACCATCAAGGGTCCTTCACATTTTGTTATTGGGGGTGGAGGAGTTTAAGCAGGCACTTACATAGTTAGCTGTAATCTAAGACAGTGATTTTAGAAATCGTTGATTAAATATCTTGAACAGCAAAACTCAAGGAAATAAGGAAGCTTATTCTAGAATACTGATGAACTGAATACGATTTTATAATTATTCCAGGAAGGCTGGTTCCTGGGGATTTGACACATCAAGAGTAAAATTCTTAACCAGAATGTGTCATGTCCCAATGGTGGAGGCTGTTACCAGTGCTGAATGACTTATAGGTGCTAGATTGCTGTTTTTTTTTAAGACTGTATTTTTTAAGGGAGGTTTTAGATTCACATCAAAAGTGAGAGGAAGGTACAGAGAGTTTCCCTGTCCCCTCTGCTTCCCTACATATGTAGCCTCCCCCGTTATCAACATCCCCCATCAGAGTCCATAGTTTACGTTGGTGTTATTCATTCTGTGGGTTTGGACACAAGGGTATAATGACATGTGTCTACCATTATAGTATCATGCAGGGTATTTTCGCTGCCCTAAAAGTTTCCTCTACTTTGCTTATTCATCCTCCCACCCTCACCCCAAACCCTGGCAACCACTATTTTTTTTTTTTTTACTGTCTCCATAGTTTTTTTTGCCCTTTCCAAAATGTCATAGTTGGACTCATACAGTATGGCTATTCATTTTTTAAAATAATGAACACACCATTTCCATCAAGATGTCTGTGCTTTTAGCTTTTTACTAAGTAAGCATTTGGCAACAGGTTCTAATTTCCACTGGCTTGTTTTCCCAGGGTCCTCGTGGTCCTCAGGGAATTGATGGTGAACCAGGGGTTCCTGGTCAGCCAGGTCCCCCAGGGCCTCCCGGACATCCGTCTCACCCAGGACCTGATGGCATGAGCAGGGTGAGTGCTGTGCTTTGTTCAATGTCATAGTTAGATAATATATTAAGGTTTTGATTTATTGCTATGATTTTCAATTGTGTTAGTTCAGACGTTGAACCTTGACTCCAAGAGCAGCTAAGTGAATGCTGTGCTGTTATGACAATGATAAAATTAAGAAATCCACATGGAATTGTAGAAAAATTCAAAGCAGAATTTAAAAAAAAATTTTTTTAAATGCTTCAAATTATGTGCATTTCTCAATGTCATTTCTGGACCCTGTGAGCTTTGTTCCTTCTGTTGATTCTAACGGGCCACTATCATTGTACCCACTATGAAATGCAAAGAGAGATGTGTCTCTATCCTTTTGCTGTTCTCTAGGTTCAGAATGCTGCTGAAATCTCAGTTATGACCTCCATGCCAAGAGGGTATAACACATTTGCGATGGTGAATGTGAAAGGGCCACTGAGTTGACACTAAAATGGCTATCTGATTATTTCCCGAATTTTAGTTTCCTACTAGAAGTAAAATAAAACAAAATGTCTATGCCTGCCTCTTTGAGTTCTTAGGGGCACAATAGGGATTTATGAATAGACTGCATAGCATAACAAGGGAAAAATATGGAGCCCTGAAATACGATTTTTTATCACAGTTCACACAATTTTCAACTGATCGTAGAAAGAGTCGCCAATTTGTCTTTTTAAACAATATGCACATTCTTTTCCCACAAAAATCTGGAAATTAATAAATATCCTGGAATGTATATTGACAATTTTGGTCAATGGGTCACCAGAGTTTTTTAGATGTGAAAGAGAATAGGTAAAACTATTGCCAATTCTTGGAACATTCAGGGGTTCCATTAAAAAGATTATTAAATTTTTATTAACTTAACATAACTACAGTTTAAAGCTTACTGGCCATTAACAAAGAAAGAAGAATACAATCTAAGGAAACGAATCCGAAATGGAATCTGGAATCTTTAGGACAAATGTTTTAAAAGCATCTCTTAGGCTAAGTTCAGATGTTTGTCGTGCTCTAAGCATGGGAAGAAATCAGTTACAGAGATTTACACCTGAAATTGATTAGACTGGTTAAGTACTTAACAGAATGATCCATACTTTTATCAAGTATCAGATATTTGGCCCATTGCAATAGTTATTCTGAAGCAGCATAGTTGTAAAATACTCTAAGGAAGATTGTTCAATCAAAAACACATACAATGGAAAACAACTTGAATTTTTTTCCTTGCTTTAAAGTCAAAAGGTTAAAATGATTCTCAGAAGAATCATTCTAAAGAATCCCAGAGAATGTGCACACATTTCTCAATTTAATAAGTATTTTGATATATGCCTTTTACTGTGAAAATAATGTCAACACATTGCTTTTACAGCCGTTTTCAGCCCAGATGGCCGGGTTGGATGAAAAATCTGGCCTGGGAAGTCAAGTAGGACTGATGCCTGGCTCTGTGGTAAGTGCAAATATTACTGATAATTGAAGTACCTGTAGAAAAAAAAATTATAAAAAGAGAAATTGGAGTTAGCTAGTTAAGCAATATGTGCCTTTTAAAACATGTCCATCCATTCATTCATTCAATTTATTTCTCAAACCCTGCCAGTTACAAGCCCTGTGGTGCTCTAATCATAACTGTGCAAAGTATTTGTTGATGTTAATAAAGGGCTATCTGTAATATTTCACTTTTTTTAAAAGAAAATAGAGAATTTTGAGACATATAACCACCAGCACCCCATAAAAAAAGTGTGCTTTTTTTTAGCTAAGTAAAGTGACTGTTTATCATGGTGTTAGAAATAGTGATGTGGCAAAATTTTGAAATGACGAGTTTTACCAGTTTTATGTTCATCATTTTCTGCTTATCTTAATATTGTCTGACGGCCTATGCCAACAACTTTAACGTTCTTCACGGGCCTCCTAACTCTTCCCATCGTCTTTTGAATTTCTTCAATAGCCAGAAAGTTTCCCATTTTTTTCTGGGAAAGTATTATAACCTGGGTGTTTTGAGCAATACAATCTCACGGAATATAGTAACACTTTTCAAATCAACTCTCCCATACATATTTGTTCATCACATAATTCAGAAGCATCCCAGATTAATGGAATTTCAGGCAACAAGAAGTGTAAACTCAGACCGCATAGATAACTACCCCTTCCACCAAGCCTCAAGGCCAGCATCATGAGTCACTTCAACATTGTTTATGTATCTTTAATTCACTACCAATATGGTCTTATTTGATCATTATCTCAGGGTAGTTTTCTGAAATATATGAGTTTTCATTCATTTGAAGTTCAAATTACATATGTCCTTATTTTCTTACTGAAGCTTTTGTTTTCTTACGCTCTAAAAATCTGATCGATTCCAAACAAAAATTTAAGTTCTTGCCATAAGAACAAACCTGATTTTGATTTAATTGATTTCTCTTTTTAAAGTGTGACATTTAAAAAATTGTGTAGATATAAGTTAGCAAATTTTTTAAAGCGCATTTTCGTTTTCTTTCTTTGGTTGTGTCTCAGTCTCACCTTTTCATGTTTAAATGAGGAAAGCCTGTGTGGATACTTTAAGTGTATGTTATGAAAGAAAGAAATAATCTGTAAAATGCAGTTCCCCAGATAATTTTAAACTTACATTTAAAATAATCCAGTCATTATTATTGGTGGTTTCATAAGCCTTTAATTCAACTTGCTCATTTAAGTTCTAAGAATTATCAGCTCTGAAGCTGAAGAATTAAATAGACAATTCGGTAAGTACTGTATCCCTGCCAAGAGTATTCTTTTGTTAGATGTTCTGGCTTAACAGAACCATTCCTTCAGCATGCAAGTGTTCTTGTCCCAAAAACATTGGGTATGTGCAGCCATAATTTTTATTTCTCTTTGTGACATTGAGGGTGTGTATAAAATCATCCCAAATGTTGTCCTAGCTTTAATCTTCTTGAATTTGGCTGCATTCCAGATGAGTACAGATGGAGAATGTCATCATCTTCTACTGTCAGAGCTTCACTTTTCCAGATTCTAAAGCTGATTCAAGATTTTTTAAATGTTTGATCTAATTGTCATGAACACTACGTAACTTTTCTTCTCTTTTGCTTTTCAGGGTCCTGTTGGCCCAAGGGGACCTCAAGGTTTACAAGGGCAGCAAGTAAATCTTTTATAATTAAATTACATACTGTAGCAAAAAAGAAAGAAATAGAAACGTCTCTGTGACATGACTGCTTTTGACTGGTCTTTCAGTTGCATATTGTAATTTTCACTTTGAATGGGTTGTATTCAATTAATTTTCACTCACTCAGAAATATATGTAATATGTTTCTCAGAGTTTCTTCATGGGGCTAAAGTTTTATTGTCTGGTTTCTTTATGTGACTGACCTCTAATACACAGAATTTTTGTGTGCCTTTGCTTCTGAAATATCAGATCATTATCTCATGTTATGATGAAAATTTCCATAATTGGTTATGTGCCAACTCTGAGTTTATGAAATCAGATCATAGAAGGCCATTACTATGGGGTATCATTTGAAATTACAGTCAAGGTGATCATTTCATGGAATCTTTAAGAAGAATGTAGTACTAAATGATAGGAATAGGAAGTATAGTTGTTGTAGAAGAAGCAGGAGGCAAAGGAAGAGTACACGATCAGGATAACTACCATTGATTGAACATTCTGTGCCAGTCCTATTCTAGGTTCTTCATATGCGTTCGTTATCTAAAGAGCTATAAAAGCCTAATGAAGTGGGTACAATACTACTCTCATTTTACAGACTGGGAAACCGAAGTATAGAGTAAATAACTCATCTAGAGTCACATAGCTGGAGGGTGGTGGAGCGAGCAGCTTGAACAGCGCCACTATACTTCAGAGAGTTTAGGATTTAGAATTCTGTTTTCTTGTGGTTTGTATATATAATTTGTATATATATATATATAATTTGTTCTCAAATTTAGGGTGGTGTTGGCCCTGCAGGACCTCCTGGTGAACCTGGTGACCCTGGACCAATGGTAAATGTCAAGTAAACATGTAGACCCAGTTAAATATGGGTCCTCTATTATAATGGTGTCCTGAGTGATTTATTTTACCAGCTCTTGACTAATGTAGCAAGAAATTACAGTCCAGTTCAGGGACCCTGTAGTATGGGCTATGCTTAAACTGTGCTTCTGGTGGCAGAATATTTAAATTCAGAGAATTTGCATATAGTCAGCAGACAGTGCTGAGGTATTTGCATTTGTGAAATTAAACTCTTTGTTGTTGAACACATAATCTGAGTGATACACATAAAATTCACAATATTAATAAAGCTGTTTTCTCAAATTTTTTTTTGTCTCAACAATATTTTTTATTAAACCATGGGTAGATGTAGGTAAATGTAGGTAAGTGTTCTTTTTTTTTCTCATTTTGTTTGTTTTATTAGGGTCCAATTGGTGCACGTGGACCAGAGGGCCCTCCTGGAAAACCTGGTGAAGATGTAAGCTGCCTTTCTTCACTTTCCTTTGAAATTTTGAAACATGCTAAGAAGAAGCTACATGAATAAGAAGTGTCAACATGAATATTATTCATTAATTCCCATTTCGTTTCCCCACTTTGAGCTTCCATTAAAGTCAATCAAAACTGGAGAACTCAAAAGGGAATTTTGCAAAATCTAGAAGTGTTCTACATTTTAATGGTATTATATTACTAGGTACTGTCTCTTTCCTTGCTTTCCTCAGGTTTTCCATTATGATTTCTCCATAAGACACTAGAATTGTTGTCACAATAGCTATAGCCTCTGCTGCTGGACTCTCTGAAGTGATCTTAAGGGAAAATACATTACTCTAATAGAAAAACATCATTATGAGGCCTTTGTTAAATGGATTTTCAAAATGTATTCGTAGGGCAGTGTCAATATTGCTCTCCAATGCTGAAAAAGTCATTTCCTCAATTGGATTTTTAATTAAAGTTAAGCCTCAACTTCATATTTTAACATTAAGAACATGTGATCAAAGAAGAGGGTATTACAACAGAGTTGCTTTTCTGGATTCTTTTCTTAGTTGTCCCAAAGTTGAGGATAAAATCATGGGTAGGTCATCAATTTCTGTGTGGTACTGAACTAAGTAACTATTTTCTCTTTGTGTGTCCCGTGATTTCTTTAAGCAAAATACATTAAATTTGGCCATAAAGAAAATATCTCTGGTAGTGCTTAATATTTTCTTATGACAAGAAAAAAGATGGCAAGCACTGTTTTAAGAAGCACTATTTAATTCAGTGCCATATGTTAATATAGAATTTCATAGCAAATATATGTATGTGTAAATTTTGATGTGCATAAAATGGTGAGCTAAGTTAGACCAGTCTAATTTATATTCATTTCTTCTTCTGGATAAATTAATGAAACCGTCACAAACTGACTTGCTAGACGGGATTGCCATCAGAAATAGAGCTCAGTGTTTTTACACTGTTTGGAGCATTGGAAACAAGCTTTCTAAAGAAGACTTTTAATCTGCAATTGCTTTGTCATGTAGTCTCAGAAGAGAATATTTTAATCCCCCTTTGCCTCCTTGCTTTTTTTCCATGAAGGGTGAAGCTGGTAGAAATGGAAACCCCGGTGAAGTGGGGTTCTCGGGATCTCCGGTAAGTTTGTATTTGACAGTACAACATAAAGACGAACTTCGAAAACTAAAGAATATTAAAAGCAACTCATAATTCATTGTCTACCTGTGCATTAGACACTATCACCAAGATAAAGTCCTTTCTGTCATTGTGGAACAGGACATTTTGCCAGAGTGGCAGCTAATTCCAATCACCCACTTCGCATTACACCAAATGTGAATGACCCTCCTAAAGCAGAGAATTATTTCATAACCTAATATGGATATTATCTCCAAACTGAATATCAAATTTTCAGATAGGTCAGCAGTCTGACCTACCTACATTTTACAACATCTCAACCCCATTTATCAATTTTCATCTTTTAAATATTTTTGTTTTGTATTCTTCACATGTTGAAAACAACAGTTTGAAGGAGCACTATGACTTGTTTTTTAAATTGTGGGCAGGATGCCTCTTTGGCGCCTCCCCAAACCCTAATGTTGGCTGAAATTCTCGATGAATGTTCTGGGTCCTAAAAACCTTATAACAAGATACACTGAATGCCAGGGCTCCTCACACAGCTGTTTTCTTCCCCCTTGGCTCAGTACAGGGACAGGTCCCTGGCAACCCATTCCACCAGAATTCAGGACCTCGGCCACTTGGCTCCTCTCCGAACCCACCTTTCTGTCCTCACTCACATTACTTTGGTAGGCCCTCCCTAGGATGTACTACACGGGCCATGAGGAAAACTAGAGAATGATAAGCAGGCAAAAACCCTCTAACAGTCCTGCTCTTAAAGTCCAACACCCCCCTAAACTGATTTGGCCTCCTACTTATGTATATGTCCTTTAATTTCCAAATGTATCCACCACTCAATACATCTAAGGGTACTGGAGTCCTCTCCGTTTACTTTCTGAAAATTGATGAGGTTTAATGCCAGGATTTTTTTTTTAAACAAGTGGATGCTAATCTTTTAAGGGAATTTACAGTGCTTTAAGGATTATTTAGTTTCAAATATAAAACCAATTCCCAGCTCCCTGCTTTCTCTCACTTTCCTTTCCCCCACCATCCTGGAAAGGCCGTGCAGACAGAGGCATATGGTTTAGTCATTAGCACAGATGTTCATGTTGACCAGTCCAAGCTTGAACCTCCCGTCCTGCTGCACTCTTGCACATTCACAGCGTGGGACCCTCCACGGGGAGGAAATGTGCCCTGCCAGCATGTCACAGATGCACTCTGCAAGTGCAGTGCAACGACGTGTGAGTGGGCTGCGATGACAGTCTTGGGTCAGCAGAATGAGAAGGTTTATGAGCGCTAGTCCATCTGGTTCATTTTCTTGTTTTATTAGAGATATGTAATCACATGAGAATTCCCTTGCAGACCACAAAAACTCAAAAGTTAACTAATTATTTGAAATAACATAGCTCAGTAATTCCCTTATAGGCTTTGATGGATGTGTACTGAGTTTCTTTTCTGCTCAGAATGGAAGGGAGAAAAATCTCAGTAAAGGGGAGCATTCCAGTGGAAAATCTTAAAGGGAACTTTTGAAGTGAAAGAATTCCTGAGCACTGCTGTGTAAACAGAAGAATTAGTGGGACTTTATTTGTTCAGAGAGCAATAGTTTGATGTGACCTTACTGTGATAACCCCCACCCAGAAAATGCTACAGAAACACTTGCCCTGTAAGCTGTCTCAGAGGAATTATTGCTTTGCTTTTCTCAGATGAAGTTCATTTATTAAGTTACTTATTCATTAATTTAATTAACAGTAAATGAAGGCTGTGGTAACGCAGAACAGATGGGTTTTGCCATTTGTGTAAGGTTGTGCTAGCACAAGAGAAATTCCTTAAGAAAGTTTTGGGAAAAGTGCTATGAGTTTGAAAAGAAATATTATACCATTTCTTCATTCAATTGTTTATTCAATGACTATTCATTGGATGCCCACTAGTTAGGCATAAGGCAAAATGCCAGGGATATGCAGATTAATGATAATGATTGATAATTGATAGCATCAACCCAAGCTATCAAATGCTCAGTCTACTGGTGGCAGTAGTAATGGCATTCAATGCGAAGCCTAGTTAATGTAGGCAATGAGAATAAGTGAATAATTAAGTCACTCAGTCTTTATCTATTTTAAGAGGGTATGAGGAAAACGTTTTAAGCATCATTTCAAAATAGTTTTACCATTTGCATTTGATTTTGTGTTTGCTTTCTATTCTTTTTTTATTCGATATGCTTAGATGAATAATGCATACAATTGATAGAAATGTAGAAATTACTGAGTCAAGGAACCATCCCATTCTCCGTATTTATTGACTTTCCTCTCTGTTGGAGATTCATTTCCTTAGTTAGTTTTTTAAACAATGACAAATCCACAAGCTTCTCCTGAACATTTAACTTTAAAAATTTATCTATTAGTTCATTTTAATATGCAATTCCTAATCATATTCTACTGCCAGTATTTAGAAGTTCAGAGAAAATAATACACATTGGTCTGCTACAAATGCATTTCTTTTATCACAAATAAAGCACAATACAAAGGAAGAAATGCATTGTTTTTCTTAAGTTCCTCTACTGATTTTTTCCCTATACCTTGACCTCATTGAGTCAGACACTGAATTCACTCTTATTTTTCTCAGAGAAAAGAAAATTATGTTTTTAGTATTTTTTGTTGTTGATACTAATTATAATACAATGACATAATTTGAAAATGTCATCAAATCAATACCTGGTATTAATCCATATTTGTGTAAGTCATGCTTCCATTCCTAACAAGTGTTTGCCTTGCTATCTATGTATTTTCATAGATAAATGTATACTACTCCTTTTTATCCTTTGCTTTGTTAGTGAAAAACTACGTAACAGATATTTTTAGTGGAAAAAAAAGCGTATTAAGTAATTTTCTATTCTTATTAATGACTCTGAAAGGCCTTTTATGTTTTTTGTTTTTTTCTTTCCCCAAGGGAGCACGAGGATTTCCTGGGGCTCCTGGTCTTCCAGGCCTGAAGGGTCACCGAGTAAGTTCAATACTTTGTAATCCTTTCAGATACTGTGGCTTACTGAGCAGGGTCTGGGGTGCATCACCTTCAAAATATTTACAGATCCTTTTGTCAGTTGTCTTAATGGCTTTGATTGTAGTAGTCATCTGTGGTTACTAAAATCACAATGCTTTTTTTACATTTCCTTTGAATTTCATTTGATTCTATAAAATATATTTTGAGTTCTTACTATGTAATTTTGTGTTACCTAAGAGGACACAGTGATGAATGAGAAACTTCAATGGTTTTTAGCTTCAGGCAAATAAGGGATTCAGTTAAGAAAATAGGCAATTACTTCATAGTGGAATAAGTGGCATGATACTAGAAAGTGCAATAGATAATAGGAGGGGCCCAGTCGGCCCAGGCTTGGAGACCGTAGGATGCTTTTCTCTTTATAACTCAAGATAATTAATTTGTAACTATTACATGTAATGTATATATATAGAAATCATATATCTAAATTATCATCTATCTATCTATCTATCTATCTATCATCTATCTATCTATCTATCATCTATCTATCTCCCTGTCTATCTGAAAGCATGGCTGATATTTACTCAGCATATACTGGTTGGCCTCTGTTTTGAGTGGTTAAGCTTCTGATTAGAATATTTGCTGCTGTACTGACTAGTTAGTAAATATTTTGAACATCATTCCTAGATATAACCTATATTTTAAAACTGTTAAATCCTATAGTTTTTATTTTCTCTAAAGCCACTATAAGATCTTTATTTGTAACTATAGATTAAATTTCCGGAAGTCACAAAAATTTGAAAGATGAGGACATTGAAAATTGAAAATGTTATTTAAAAGGGGAAACTAATTTTCTTTGAGTGGACTTTCAAAAAAGGTTGAGAATTTGGAAACATTTCGAGTAACAACTTTAAATTTGAGATTTGTTTTCATTCGGTAAGCTTACTTTTGGTTCTTCCTTTATGCGTCTGAGAATCCAAAAAGCAGTAACATACAAATTTATATTTTTCTTCTCAGGGGCACAAAGGTCTTGAAGGCCCTAAAGGTGAAGTTGGAGCCACCGGTTCCAAGGTAATTGTATAATACTTCAGTATAACCTTACTAGAGCATTTTGGGTGTCTTTCAAGTGCCTACCATTTATTTCAGAAGTCCCTTAAATAATTCTGGAGGAAAGAAAATGATTAATGAAATAAATAAATGTAATTTTTCATAGGTGAGTGGCAATAGATTTACCAGGATACGTGACGTGACCTAACTTTGCCACCAAGAATAGCCACCATGCTGCTGGGTTTCTGCCAATGTAGGATGGATATCGTCTTTATGACATACGACACTGTGAATTCACCTTCTGAAACATTCATTCTTTTTTCTTCTTCAAAAATATCAGAGGTGTAAATGCTTCATTAGCCCTGTTATTTAGTGCCATTTTAATGCCAGGACCTTTTGGCCATTGTTTCTCTCCAAAATTTATTTATGTTTCCAGAGGGAGGGAGAACATTAAGGAAGTCCAGAGGACTTTTTAGTGGGAAGTATCATGAGATACATATGTGGAAAAGCATTTGGCTTTACAATCGTTATTTCTATGCTTCACATAATAGAACTTAAGGAAATATTACAGTCAATTTTAGATTTGTAAAGTTTTACTTGGCCTAACGTATTATCCTAATAGACAGAAATTACATTCTTGATACTCATTAGTGTGTCTAGGTGTGATAGTTCCATCAATCTTGTTTAAATCCCCTGGTGTGTTTTTTTCAGACTTATTTCTTTAGAAACTAAATTTTCATTGTATTTTGAGAAAAGGGGATACACTAGGCTTTTGAGGTCCTTCATTAAAAGTATGCTTTCAAATGCACATTTTGAAAATATGCCTTTAGAATGCTACACACGTGGAACAAAATGATGTTACTATCAGTTGTAGGTTTCTCATATTGTAATGTGATCTCGTTTTTGCTTTAGGGTGAGGCTGGCCCTACTGGTCCCATGGGCGCCATGGGTCCTATGGTATGTATTAATTTAATTCTTTGCTATTTCTTTGCTTTTTAGATGATATTAAGAGAGTATTTATATGGAAAAAAGACATAGAAAACATATGTTAGCTGGTGAAATAATTTTGATTACCAGCTGCAGGCGAGCATACTATAAGAATTAAATCCTTCAAATACAAAAGTCTTCCTGTATTTCATTGTGAACTGTAAGCGTCCTTATTTATTTTTTTCTGTACTCAGTGATCAAATCAGGAATCTTGTAGATTCTGCCCATTAAAGCTAGATTAAGTGAAATCTATTTAGGTGAGAGGTGGTAGGTTACGTATCTCTGCCAGTGGAGAGGTTTTGAAATCCAAAATTGCCTGAAAGAAATGCTATCACTTAGTGGCCAATAATATTGAGTCTCAATTGGATTGAGTAGTGTAATCAAACTGCCCTAGAGTTAAAATAAGATGCTTCAAGAGATGTTTTCTCTCTCTTGTCTCCAGGGTCCAAGAGGAATGCCAGGAGAGAGAGGGAGACTTGGGCCACAGGGTGCTCCTGTAAGTATGTGTCTTAACTCTCTCAAATGCATTACTGAATATACCTTCTAAATGGGAATAACAGTATTCATTGCCTACCTCTTAATTTTTTTATTTTTATTTTGAAATAAACTTAGGTTTGCCGAGAAGTTGCAAAGATAGTATGACGAGTTCCCATGTACCCTTATATCCCCTAGCCCCTAGCCCCTCTTACTGTTAATATCTTACATAACCAGACTGCATTTGTTGCCTGTTTATCTTAATAAAGAAATTAAGAAAATAATGAAAACATAGAGCAGCATGGAATATAATCCATGGAAAAACATAGACTTTGGAATAGTAATAACATTATAATAATAGGTAATATTTATCAAGAACTTATTATACACTCAGCATTCTTCTAAACATCTTTATGTTTATCACAGTCCTAAAAGGTTAGTACTATGAATATACCCTTTTAAAGATTTGAGTCTCCTGATCATCTGCATTCAATCTATTTTAAATAACATTTTGAGAAATATCCTTGCTGTTTGCCCATGTACCTTGAACCTAGGTTGGGGGAGAGGGTGTTGCATATTCTATTAATTCTCTTCATAGCTCTCTAAAGGTCAAGCTACACTTGCTAATATTTCAAACTTGCAGTTCCCTACATTGCATTCATTTTACTTTTGACAGTTGAGGGCTGCTACCTCGCCTCTATTATTTTGAGATCCTGTCATCTCCATTAGTATAGGACTCTCATGTTTATGGCATCCCCTACTATTATCTCACGGAAGATAACCACCTTAGAGCTTCTCAATGGTGCCAAAGTTAGGGCCCTGGTTTGGGAGAAGTGAGACCCTCTCACTGGGCCGTTCCTTATCACTTTGGCAAGTAGAGTGTCCTCTGGAAGTGCAGAGAATATTGTGGAATACAATCAGCTGTTGCCTTATCCAGCCTTACATAATATATCCAATCTACTATGTTCACTTCCCTGTGCTTTCTACCATCTGCCAAAGCAGTTATGGCATTTCTAACTCACTTAGCGTGGGCCATTGCTCTGCTAGAACCATCTCCCATGTTAGCACCATCTCCCAGGATCTTTATCAGGGTGTTAAATGTGTATCATGAGAGAGTACATCCATATCATTAAAGTTCTCCAGCTTCATATTTTGTCCCTTTCGATCCAGTACATTTAGGACCTCGTTCCATACATTCTTTCTTGGATCCCGCCTCTACATGGTGTATAGACCTTGTAGCTCCTTTGGTATACAGTTTCTTCTTTCTTTTATGAGAAATACTTCCTCAATCCAGTTATTTTTTAAATTTTATGCTAGTTATTGGTCCGGTGGCTACGGGGAGGGGCAGGTGTAATGGTGGTGGTATGTGTTTTGTGAAAAAGTAGAGGCTTCTATGTCATCTTTAAGCAAGAAAGAAGTATAAGCTGTTAATGGTGGAAATGGGCCATTCTGCAGACACCTGTGCTTCAGGGTCTCTGAGATGTCGAAGTTCTTAAGATATCCCATTGCTGAAGGTCAGGGTCCCGTTTCTTCCAATCAAGGTCCCTGACCATGGCATAGGAGACTTTTCATGTTTCAGAATTCAAACTTCTCAAGAGTTTTTAAACCTTTATCATTAAGTCCTGGGCCTTTTTCTTCCCTCTGGTTGTAGAAGATGACAATATTTTTAAATGCTGCCACGGAGCCTTATGCTGATGGTTGATCTCTATCAGCCTTTCACTGTCTTGCTCCAGTGGATTCACTCAACATGACGCATGCAATTCCATCAATTTTAAAATCGCTGTTTCCCCTAAAACTTCTCTAATGCCTGAGCTGTTGTACCCCTTGCCCATTCCCTTATACTTGTGGCCTTTGTCAGTTCATCTTGGAGACAATATTTACTACTGCATCACCAAAGCAGACCAAGACGGATGCATATTTTTTTGATCACTAGCTGATCAGTGAGGAATCCAGCTTGAAAATTTCATTGTAGAGCCTGCTCCTACTGCCGGCACCAGTAGGACTAAAGTCTTAGGTCAGATTTCCCAGGAAATAGCATCAAAGCAAAGACTTGTGTGCAGGAAATTTATTGGGGAGTGCTTTCAGAAACTACACTTCTGAAGAAATGAATAAAAGAAGCAGGGTTTGTCAGAGGGAGAAATTAAATAGCGTTACCATTGCAACAGAGACCTGCATCTCTGAACCTTCAGTTCCATGGGAACTGTGGAGCTGTGGTAGTTCTTCAGATTTGTCTTAAATAGGGGCCAATCCTTGGTAGCACTGCATTGGCCATGGAAGGGACGTAACTTTGGGAGAGCTAATTTCTTTTAGCTGAGGCAACCTGTTGGGGAGGGTCTTAACTGGAAGCTGTCAGCTTATGACACTTCCAGCAGCGGTAGAATGATTCCTTCAGGGGTGAGGGGGTATCTGGGTGACACCCACAACATTCACTACCACTTAATTTCCCTGTGTGTGTTTGTGTGCGTGCGTGTGCATGTGTGCTGTAGTGTTTTGTTTTACAAGGAGTACATTCCTTGTCTGAGTTATTCTAGCTATTAAGAAGACTGAGGTGTTCAAAACTTCATGGTCTTTGAGCTCATTTTATAGAAGGTGATAAATACATTTGGGTAAAAAGAATTATTTTGATCAGTTTCATTTTTTCAATCTTGATTTTTCTTTCCTATTGCTATACGGATAGTTGTGTTCATTACTACCTTACCAGTGTTGTAGAAATGTGTATTTTTATTGCTATTAACCAGGTTAAGGTTGTTGTCAGTTAACCTATTATTACTGAATTTTTAGCAAGGAAATTTTTTACAAAGGAAATGAATTGTGAGCAAATAAATCAGAAGATCTAATCTTATCCTTTCTTGTCTCTTTTTCTACTAACTAGGGGCAACGAGGTGCACACGGTATGCCTGGAAAACCCGGGCCAATGGTGAGTTGTATTACTCACATATTCGTCATTAATTTATTCAATAATTTTTCCATGTTTACATTCGTTAACATTTACAGAGTGCCTACTGTGTCCCTGTCACTTGAAATAAAAAAAAAAGATGGTAAACACACAGTACTTGTCTTTGAAAACTGACTTGCCTATCAAGGATGAGAGGTATACCAATTCATACTGTAGCATACTGCTATTACTGACTGCTGTAACGTAGAATACAACCTGAGGTGTGGGAACATCGAAGAGAAGGTACCTCTAACTGTAGTGAGGGAAAGATGTCAAGGAAGACTCAAAGAGGAGCAACTTTCAAGCTAAATCTTGAAAGATTTGTATACAAAATGAGCAAGAATATAGCATAGTCCACAGGATGGAAAGATGAGGAAACATGATGAGCTCAGGGAAATACTAGGAGGGTAAATCAGGTTTGAAATTATTTGCCCTTAGGATCTTGTCTGCCTTGATACTCATAAAAAAAGAAACAAAATATAGGAGGAAAAAAGAAATATAGTTAAAAAGGACTCTTTTAAAAATGCAATACTGATGGAATTAAAATACAGGCTTAAAAGAAGAACTAGAATAACCTAGAATGGAATTCCTCTTAAACTCATTTCCTTCAAATCTAGCCTTTAACTCAAAGGTTTAAACTCTATGTATGCCTTCCCAAATGTAGGATAGTGACAAATATTCACTTCTTATTAGCCTGAAAGAAAATCAATCTAAAATATGTAGATGATGCTTAAGCATCATTTTTATAAAGTGCAGTCCTAGATTTTTGTACAAAACTTTCTAAAAACAATCTTTATTACTTTATTGACACAAAGAAAGCAATTGCAAGAAGCAATTGTTTCAAATAATTTGTGTTTTTACTGACGTAATCTTATATGCTACAACTAGGAAATCTTATTATGTACAATACCACTGAACATGTCTTTTAGCACTATTTCATATCAACCTTAGAAAGTATTATGATAAAATTATGTTATCTTTGTGATTTTTAAAGTACTAAGTGGATTATTCTATGTGTCAAAATATAGAATTTTGTCAAACAATAAAAGATGACTTAATTAGATATTGATTAAAATATATGTCTGATCACTTTTCTGGTTCCTTTTAATAGGGTCCTCTTGGGATAGCTGGCTCCCCTGGTTTTCCAGGAAATCCTGGGATGAAGGTAAAATGTTAATATATTTATTTCTTGATTATATGAATCCCAAAGTGAAGAATGTCATTTCATTAAATGAAGAGTATGGAAGTTGCTCTCAACTAAGGAAAGAGCCTAGTGTATTCTCAATGTCCATTATGGTAGGAAAATAAAATTTAAAAATGTAAGAATGAGATTACTATATAATATGTAACTAAAAGAGAATTACTTACAATCAAATAAATGTAATATCAAAGAACCTGTTGCATTAGGACTCTAGCTCCAGACAGCTCTAAACTGCAAGGAATAAGAGCTTCAAATGAATTAAAGCTCTGTTCTTGGATATAGTGCCTGGCAGTAGTAAATAGCAGAATGTTCTCAATAAAAGGAGGTTAAAATAAATCAGAGGAGGACAAAGGCTGTTTCCTCACACAGTGCTGGCTTTCACGCCTGCCCACCCCCACTCCTGCCTTTCATTTCTGACCATTTAAAGGAATGGTCTGGGAGGCTCCACCTGGGAATAGATTAAAATATTCTGCTGGGATCACAATTTGCTCTTTCTCTCAATACTTGGGGTGACAAATTTAAGGATTACAGTAGGAGGTTATTCAGATTATATTAGCTAAATTAATGAATATATTCAGAACATTACTTCCAAATTTTAAGCTACACAATGTATTTGATTACCATTCATATCCAGTTTCTCACTGGCAATTAATTTCTTCATCTTGAAAACAGGATTTACTTACATGACTATGATGTGCAAAAATGACTGCACCCATGGCAGCCACCTCACTTCTCTAAATCTTGTTTTCTCATAGAACTTTTGTTGAAGATCAAATGAAATAATCTATGCAAACCCTTAGCATCGTGCCCGAATCAGAGGGTGCCTCAATATAGAGCAATGCTTCTTGTTAGTAGTGCTACTCAAATTGGACTTGAATTTTGATACAAACCAGAAAACAAACAAACAAAAAAACAAAAAAACAAAAAAACACAGAGTCTGTAGCTGACATTTCAAATACTCTGAAATGGTAGTCCTTAAGTCAAATTATTCTTCAAGCTCACTCTAATGCCATCTTTAAACTCTAAGCCACAGGGATGTGGTGGCTTTAAAATGATGCCTTAAGTCTTTTTACTAACCAGTCCCTTCTTTAATTTAGAGCTCACTCTGAACTCAGACAGGTAGAATCTTCTTCTGTTCTTTGTACCTGTTCTGCTCCCTGATGTCCTAATCCTATTGCCACTGACTCTGGCCATGGAGGACCCAACCTCCCTGTGTACCCTGATAAAAATAAGCAAAATCCCCTCCCTCTTCCTGTAAGACCCTCCACCCTCAAGCTGAGCTTTGGCTAGAGAATTAAGGAAAGAATACTCACAAGGACTACGGCTTAGCAGAAAGTAGCTTCTGCCCCACTTTGGCATCTAGTTAAGACTTCACTAATAATCAGTTTATACAACAGCTCACTGGGTGCTTCCCTCTCCTCCTGGCTTTTTCTAGTACTGAAAACTGTTTAATCAAGTCCACCACCTAGCAAAACTCTCAGAAATCATTTCTCCATCCTACCACTACTCCCCGCATAAAATACCCAGGTGTTTTGTTTTTGCCCAGGGTTCTGCTATACCTGTAAGGTTCTACCAGGGTCTTTGCTCTCTGGCTGAAGAATAAACTTCCACATCCAGTTCTTTACATTTTAATGAAAGGTAATAGGGATTTTACATGTTTTGATACTAATGAGCTCTCTAAAGCTTAGAGTTTTAGTTCTCAAATTCCAGGTCCAGGTCCCTGGAGTATTGGTCTACATAGGTGTATAATATGTTGGATAAATACAGAAACCAATTAAGTTTGAATTTCACTTAAATAAAGAATAAATTTTAGTATAAATATACCCCAAATATTGCATAGGACAACCTTATAATAAAACGATTTGTTGTTTATCTGAATTGAAACTTAGCTACACATCCCGCATTTTTATTTACTATGTGGACCCCTATCTTGAGTTGAAACAAGGGTGGCTCTCAGGCTCCCTTGACCACTGTGCTCTTTATCACCACGGGCATCACCACACCTGACGAGTGGGAAAGTAAGCCTGCTCCTTAGGCTAGGTTACATGCATTTCCCCTATAAGCCAATCTGTACTCTTGACCCCTTTCTATTTTGGGGTGTAGAATGTAAACCTCCAAATAAGCAATCAACTTTGAACTGCACCATGTTTATATTTTTTTCTTAAATTAACATTTTTCTTTGCACCCCTTTAGGGAGAAGCAGGTCCCACTGGGGCTCGAGGCCCTGAAGGTCCTCAAGGGCAAAGAGGTGAAACTGGGCCTCCAGGTCCAGTTGGCTCTCAGGGTCTTCCTGTAAGTTCCTAGTGTATTTAAGGGCTGTCCCAGAAAGCTGGACATGTTGTACAACATCAGAACAAAGGCAGTCTATTTTAATATATTCTGTTTAATTTCTGACTGAGTGTTTACAACTCATGAGAAAACCACATTTCCCTTGTAAACTGAATATTTTGTCTATTTTATGGAAATGGTCATAAAAGTGATTTTTTTATAATACAATAGTGGTTGATTTTTTTTTTTGCGATATTTTCTGCCTCCTTTTGGAAAATGGGTGGACTTCTGAGAATACCAACCTAGTTATGGTGTAATAGTTCATAAACTCTTCATGTATCTCTTAGGGTACGGTGGGAACTGATGGTACTCCTGGTGCCAAAGGCCCAACGGTAAGCAACTCCATTGATCCTAAATAAACACAGTGCTTTGGCCATTGGCCATAGGCTTTTCACTAGGTCCCTGCTCATCATATGACTTTTGTTTTCTTCAGGGCTCTCCAGGCACCTCTGGGCCTCCTGGCTTGGCAGGGCCCCCTGGATCTCCAGGACCACAGGGTAGCACTGGACCTCCAGGAATTCGCGGCCAACCAGTAATGTCCTTTAAAACAACTAGTAACCATTAGTATAACTGAACTAAGATTGCCAAGAGAAACAGCATTTCATGAGATGTAATGAAACATAGATAATGGGACTTATCTGAATGAGGCAAACGAAGATAGGAATCTTTGTAAAGTGAGAGCAAGTGTTAATGTACAGTTTAGATGTTTAAATTCAAAGTGGAACGTTATTGCATTATGTTAAATTTTTGTTTTTTTATTTAAAATAATAAGGTCACAACTTTATGGTTCACCTCATAGAATTTTATGAGTGGTTGAATAATAAACATTATAGAAACATTTGCAAGTCAGTGTGGGGAAATGTGGAGGTTTAAATGGGATTTATAATGATGATTGGGCTAAAAATGGATTCAACAACTCTTTCTTGAGAGTAATTTATGAAGAGAGATTTCAACATATTGTTCATATTTAATGAGTTTCCATGTGTTGTAGATATTACTAGGAAAAAATATGATGAGCCCATAAGAAATAAGCATATTGAAAAGTTGTACTTACATGTGTTTTGCCTTGATATATAAAAAGTAACACTTTCTTTCCTAGTACTACTTAAAACAAATATTTTGGATTCTGTTCCAAGTAATTTGGTTATGCTGATAAATCTTTTTGAAGTGTTGGTGACAGATTTATTAAAAAATGGGTGTTGCTGATATTTCAAATTTAGTTTTATCATGTTCTCAATTTAGCAATCTGGCTCTTACAACTTAAACTACATTGGTATTTGAAGACACAGATACACAAAACCTTAGAACAAAATAAAAGCCTAAAACCCTTTGGAGTCAGATGAAATGTCCTATTTGAAGTTGTCAAGCTCTCAATAAATAGAACATAAATATAGAATTATTTTGATTCTGGGTGAATAAGCCTATTTCCTAAAATAAGGTCTAAGTAGGTTTATCTATAGAAGTTTCATTGTTTAGTTCTAATTTTTATTAAATTGGAATAATAACTAATTATGATTATTCTAGTATGCATGATAAAAAGCCAATATTTAAAAAACAAATCTCTTGAATACCACTGTAAAATAAACAGACAGCTACCAAATTATACTGAATTTTATAAAAATTTCATGCACATTCGATAAGATTTGCGAAATTTAAAATGATTACATTATGCTGTTGATTCAATACAGACTCAGTTGCAGAAAATTTTTCAAGGCCCATTTACTATAGTTAATTAAAGCAGGTTAGACTGGCTAAATATCATGGTTCTTACAATTAATGATGCTCTTGTTTTAGGGTGATCCAGGAGTTCCAGGTTTTAAAGGAGAAGCTGGCCCAAAAGGGGAACCAGTAAGGCTTCATTTTTTTTTTAAATGATATGAAGAGCATAAATCTTGTCTAGAAGTATACAGCTCAAAATGCTTAAGTGTTTAAAATAATAACAATGAGAATTATAATCCCTTTGAGTGTAAATAGTTTAACTGTTTCATATAGTTTAAAATTTATGACTGACTTCATCATATGAATCTTTTGACTATGACTCCCTTGTCGAATCGCTTTTTCGGATAACTGCTCTTCTGTTTCTAATAGGGACCACACGGTGTTCAGGGCCCAATAGGCCCACCTGGTGAAGAAGGCAAAAGAGGTCCCCGAGGTGATCCAGGGGCAGTTGGTCCTCCAGGCCCACTGGGAGAAAGGGTAAAATTTGAATAATAAAATAAATTCTTATAGTTGTGGGGCAATTATGTGAGTAAGTTTTGGGGTAGCAAGGAAAACTAGAGCAGTTAAGAGAACTGCTTTCAGGTGCAGTGCACATTTCAATATGATAATCTGTGAATTAAAGGAGCCAAGTAATCATTGTTCATTCATTCATTCACTCAACTCGTTGACTGAACAAGTATTCCATGCCAATTTGTTATATTGGTGCTTGGGATACATCAGTGAACAAGAAGGCTATGCACTCATATGGGGGCTAATAAACAATAGTTTACTTAGTGGGGAGGTAAGCAATAAACAAGTCAATAGGTAAATAAAATATAATTACACATTCTAGTAAATGAAGTATACACTTAGGAAATAACAGTGATGTGGTAGAGAGTAACGTCGAGTATATGACAGTGGTGTGACATTACATTAGATGGTTAGGAATCAGGAGTCTCTGAGAAGACGGCATTTTAGCTGAGACCTGAAGATGAGGATGGGCCAGCAAGAGAACTTATGAGAAAGGATGTTTTTCAGCAGAGGAAGCAGCAAATGCAAAGGCAGGAAGACAGAAAGGGCTTGGTGACTTTAAAGATCAGAACAGGTTGCTGTGACTGGAGTGTAATGAAAGAGGTTTGAAAGGGACAACAGCAATATCACCTTACATGTGTACAGAGCTTCAGAGAATGCAAAGGGCTTCACATGCATGGCAATACTAATGCATGTCATCACTGCATTTTTATTGTGATAGATGGTGACATCACTTTGCCTCTCATATCTAGATATCGGTTTATGTTTAATTTTACAACAAACGGTTGAAATATTCCGGGTTGAAAAATTTTTTACGTCATCCTTAGATATTCTTCAAAATTTTAAATTTATTTCTGTATAGTCAGATTTTTTTTCTTATGCACATCTATTGCCATGTTGGTTTGATGCCATCTTCTACAACCTTAGAGTACCAAAAATAAAAATTACTTACTCATTATATATTACAAAAACATCAACAGCAATTAAGAATCAAATTTTGGTCATTTGTAGGGTGCTCCTGGCAATCGTGGTTTTCCGGGCTCTGATGGCTTACCTGGACCAAAGGTGAGGTTATCCCATCAATGTTGACACTCATGTGGGTGGTGCTCCAAAGACACCATTGTCCAGCATGTTGATCTAGCTTTGGACCATGTGGGTCCAGATCTAGAAAAGAGTTGGACACAGGTGTCAGGCCTCATGTCAAATCCCTCTAGTGCAATTTCTATATTTTGGAGGTCTGGGTGTGAGGGGTGGGGAAGACAGTGGTTGGAGGTATATGGGAGTTTATTTGCAGACTTTTCAGGGACATTTCTGAGAAGAAAAGGTCACAGACCTTTCCTTTTACTGATATATGATTTTTCCTTTATCTAGACGTGTAGACTCTTTCAAAATTCTATAGTTTGTTTTTCAATATTTATATTATTGGAGTGAGGCTCTAAACATAACTTTCATTCGCTAATGATGAAAAACCACTATTCTACAAGAAATCCAAATTAGAACAAAATGTGAAGTGACATTGTTTACAGAGAAGTCTTTGTAACTACTTTGACAAACTATTTGTATGTTATATTAATGCTTTGATTTGTAGAGCAATATTTTATATATGGTAACTTTTGTTGCCCTGTACTCTTTTTCTGACATGTTATGCTTTGCTTTGGAACAGGGGGCTCAAGGAGAGAGGGGTCCTGTAGGCTCTTCAGGACCAAAAGGAGGTCAGGGGGATCCAGGACGTCCAGGTGAACCGGGGCTTCCAGGTGCTCGGGTAAGATTACAGCATTTTTTTCTCTGTATCAACCCAGGACATATGCTCCTGAGAATTCATTGAAGGGTTTCTTTGTCCTGTTATTTTTAATTTAGCTTACTTTCACAACTTGGAACATTTCTTTCCTTTTGTGGTTTTGATCTGATTCGTGATTTTCAAAATACTAGTTATTTTTATCATGTACAGAAAACACAGTAACTTCTAGCCTTTCTTTTTCAAAGGCGTATATGTATTAATAGTTTTACCACTTGACATAAATAAAAAATCCTATTTGTCAGTTTTTATGAATTTTTTTACTTGCTAATAAACAACTTGTTTGACTTTTGGCAGAGAAAATTCCTGATAAATTTCATTTTAACAAAATATCACTTGAAAATTTATTTGGACTATGCAACTGCCCTTACATTCAGTTGTCAACAATGCCCCTTAAAGGAAAGGATTATACAAAAAGTTGTTGAATGGGAAAATACATTTCGCTCAATATAAGGTCTTTGTCTTGATCCCAGTGTTAAATGTATGAGTAAAAGTCTACGATAGCACCTTCTCCTTTTACATGAGAAACCGGCATTGGGTTCGCTTCTGCTTAGACACCTGATAAAGGTGGAATGCCAGCTGAATGACCAGTCAACATTGCTTATAGTAAAAAATGATCCCTGATTTATGATTGCATTTAGACTGGGAGGGCTATGAAAACTATGCCTCCCACCAGTATACTATGTTCAAGGTGCCGTTACAAATAGTGGTTACATGGGATTTCCAAGACAGGGTGGTTCCTGCACCCACCATGTAGACTCATTCCCTGGCTTTCGGCCTCTATTGTGAGAGGCTTGGTGGCTGCCCCTGGAGGCTGTGCTGTGAATACTCCTCCCAGGGAAGAGGCGCACCTGGAGCTGCCCTGCTGGCATGCTGTGTTGTCTGCCCTGTATTCTTCAAAGCCAGCTGGGTGAGGCCCATGATGGTCCTATGACTTTGTCCAGAGGAGCCTAAGGTTACTGAGAGTGGGCATTTGCAGAATGGAATGGGATCCTTTTAATGTAATGCTATTTTTACTCTTTAGACTCTACTTCAATTGCAGGTCAGGTACAAACTGACAATTACTTTAATTTTCAGGGTCTGACAGGAAATCCTGGCATTCAAGGTCCTGAAGGAAAGCTTGGACCTTTGGTAAGTTATTTAAACCAATGTCTACAACCTTTCATATTTCTCAATAGACATGCAACTTATTTGAGTTTAATATTTTTGATCATGTAGATGCTGATCGTATTTACACATTTAAAATGCTTTGCCCTCTGGGAGCAAACACTTAGGACCTGCGTATTTTCAAATTGACCCAAAATTCATTACATTATATTGACATAAACCTTTGAGATTGAAATTGTTTCCTTGACATCAGTGAAAAAGTTGAAATAATGTATTTTTTAAGATTGGTGGAATTTTATCTATTAGCAACATTTTCATATTTTGATAGCCTTGCAATTTAGTACATTTAAGAGATAAGTAGGTATGAATTTTGACAGCTTGTATATTCTGGACCCTTCCCTTATACTGCAAATGTTAAATAGAAGTCCTGAGTTTTTATTACCACAAACTAGAGTAAATGAAAGGGAGAGATTTCCTCTATTGACATGAGAGTGTAATGAGACATGAAGATAAGGCTTGTGTATAGAATAAGAATAAAATTTCTGTTCTAAATAGTCTAAATACTTCCACAGTTTTTTTTTAGACACCCAACTGTTCTGATTCACTAAGATAAAAATGTTGGATAACTTAAAACATAAGTTTTAACGTAAGCAAAGGCGAGTAACAATTTGGGTGATGTGGTATCTAAAGCAAATTTACATAACACTTGCATTGCTTTGGTCCATCTTGTAGGGTGCTCCAGGTGAGGATGGCCGGCCAGGTCCTCCAGGCTCCATCGGAATCAGAGGGCAGCCTGGGAGCATGGGTCTCCCAGGCCCCAAAGGTAGCAGTGTGAGTACAGTGTACAATATGTTTGCCATCTCATCCTAATTCTCACTTGGAACAGCTAAAAATTTAACAAATTGATTGATATTCAAATTAGTTCTATTTATTCTTTAGGGTGACCCTGGAAAACCTGGAGAAGCAGGAAATGCAGGAGTTCCTGGGCAGAGGGTAACTATACATTTTCTGCTAAAGAAAAAAAAATATCCAAGTTCTCATGGCCTCATCTCACAAATTATCTCTGTGACACTAGGGAGCACCTGGAAAAGATGGTGAAGTTGGCCCTTCTGGTCCTGTGGGGCCCCCGGTATGTGATCTTTTAACAAAAATATATTCATACTGCATTTTTAAATGATGTTTGTCTAAGACTTTACTTAGAAATAAGTTTTGGGAGAAGTAATTAAAAAAGTGGAGGATTGAAAAATTTGAGTTGTATCTTTTCTTTTGATTCCTGTGCCGGCATCTTCTGTCTTTTTAATAGAATGATTGGTCTCTTTATTTTTAACTTCTATAAAATGCTGATAGTAAACATTGTTATGTGTCACATCATATATATTGATATATTGAAGAAAATGGTGTCTGACAAACATTTAATGCAGTATTTTACCTAAAATATATAAATAGTGAATTATACCTACCTTCTTCTAATAATGTATCTTATAACCATTAATTTAAGCTGGGTTTTGTTTTTTCCCCCTGAGGGACTGAAAAAGAATAATATTGATCCTTTGAGGTATATTTTCATTCCAGGATTTTAAAATTAAGTATTTATTAGAAATATTTTGCACTTTGTTTTGGGCTGAGGCAAGTTAAATAAATATCTTTCTAAAATGTTAGCTTTGCTTTCTTTAGTCATTCTAGTTTTGAAGATATGATTAATAATTTTTATGACACCTAGAAATAAACTGCAATGGGAGTATTACCCTTTTAGATTAGATATGTGAAAGTAAATAATTTTTCCATGTCCAATTTATCCAATTTCCCCATAATTTTCGGGTTGGCTCCAGATATTTTATGTTTGGATCAAAAAATCAACACATGTCATCAGCCTCTCGGCTGGCTTGAGAAGATATTTTCTCACCAACAGGGACTTCAACCAATACCAATGGATAGATGAGTTTTGATGCTAGTTTATTATCTGGCTAAAGTAAAAAACATGTGATTGGAAGAAATACAAAGAAATGGTAATACTTCTCATGGTTCGCATAAACAGGAAGCAGGCGTAAAATCTGGCTCTTGGTTTTCATGAGTTTCTTTCCCTGGTGACTTAGGGTCTGGCTGGGGAGAGAGGGGAACAGGGCCCTCCGGGCCCCACCGGCTTTCAGGTATGCACTAATCCAGTGTTCCATTTCTTCTACTAACTGAAATGCTTTTTAAACTATCAAATGACATGGTCAAATAAGGTGAAATTCTACAAATTTCATAGAAGTCATCCTTCTTTTAGAAAGTAAGCTGGACATTTGGATAAAATAAAAAAATTCTGTTCAAAGAGAAGGAACAGACTTCCCCTGAAAAACTGATGAAAACTCCACACTATTAACAAGTAAAAAATCATAAAATGTGCTTGATACCTCAACAAAATTTGTTGAACTATATTAAGGCTTATCTAATTTTATTGGCACAGTGTCTAAAAGTGTTTGTTGAACAAATTTCCATGATTTCTCTAAGTATATCAGTATGGTAGATTATCTAATAGCATGGATAATCATAATTTGGGAAAAAAAACTTTCAGTATTGACTTTCACTATTATTCTAGCAGCCTAATATATTTTTACAGAGCTATTAAAAATCTACAAATATGAAGAAACTCTTTTTATAGTTTTGCTTTCTTTTGCCAAAATGATGTGCAAATGAAAATCTAACCCTATAATCTGGCTGTTATGTTGTATTACATGTAGTTTTCTCATTCTGTTTTGTTTAACTTGCGTTTGCACAATATCTTTTGCTTGAAAATATAAACGTGTTAACTCTATGAGTTGTAAAAAGTGAACTGCTAACACTCGTTGTCTATTAAACTTTCATGGAGTCACAGTTTTATTTTCTTGCTTTTGTTTTAGGGGCTCCCTGGTCCTCCGGGACCTCCTGGTGAAGGTGGAAAGCCGGGTGATCAAGTAAGTTTTTAAATAAGAAGAATAGCAATACTAAAAATCGCTGGCTCATATCACTTATGTGTTAGGCTCTGTTCTTGTTTTCTTTATATATATTATCTCTTTTAATCCTCAAAACAGCCCTATGTATTAGGTACTTTTATAATACACATTTTACAGGTGAGGAAAAAGAGGCATACAGATGTTAGGGAATTTTCTCAAAGTCACACAGCTGAGATGATTTGAACCCAGATCTTATGCTCCCCAAGACTATGTTCTTAATCATTAAATATATATCATAACTATAGAGTTTTACTGGAGGCTTTGTAAATGGTTATGAACAGATACTAACCATATTATTTCTATCATTTTACGAGCACCTAAATTTATTTAATTTATTTTTCTTTGAATGATTCATTCATCATTTAACCATTCAACAAATATTGGGTTGTCGGAAACGTCATGACATATTTTTCTATGTTTTTCGTTGCAAAAATGCGTCATGACGTTTCCGACAGCCCAATATTTGCTTAGTGCTATGGCTTTAGCGCTATTAACCTTGACTTTAACAAATTGAACAAGATGGATATGGACTTTTCCCTGATACTGTATTATAGCAGGAGACACAGAGAATGTAGGGAGACAGTTACAATAGTAACGTGTTCTATAATGGAGGCACTATGTCTATGGAAACACAAAAAATGCAACTAATTTAGATATGGGGGGTTAGGAAACGTTTCCTGAACAAAGTAATATCTTTAATGAGATCTGAAGGATGAATGATGGATGGTAAGCGGGGAGGCAGGAAGGTAAGAAAATACTCCAGGAAATGGAACAGCAAGTGCAAAAGCTTGCTGATCAAATTAAGGCAGCTAAAAAAGTCCTGTAAGTCTGCTATGTGGAATATAGCTTGTGGATGGAGATGAGCCTGGAGGGGTGAATCAGGGGCCAGGTATGGAGTCTTAATTTGACCTAATTTGTTCTTATTATTGGAGGAATGGGAAGCTAATGAAGGGCTTTGAAGCAGGGAGTAATACTATGAAATCTGGGTTTTAGGAAGATCATGCCACAATGAAGATAATAATTTCAAGGGAAAAGACCAGAGGGCTACTTGATACAGTTACTATCTTTATTGAAGAGCAGAGTTTTAAGTGACAAACTTGTCTTTAGTTAAGAACATACCTTTAATGTAGTCATGACTACATAAGTTTGAACCTGCAATTCCTAATAGAATGTATTGTCCATATTATAGGTTCAAAAAATATTTACTAAATTGAATTGAGTTGATTATATTTAGAAGATCAGTACTTAATTGCTTTTAATTTCATTTTCCTTTATTAAGTTTTTCACATTCCTTTAGGAAATAAAAGGCCTTTAGTTTATCTTTTGTTATCTTTAAAAAAATGAATGCACTGTCTTTGTGAGATAATATTTTGCATGTTCTCATTACCAAAAATATTCATTTATAATATAAATTTTTCTGGGAAAATATTTCCACCTAATGTATGGGATATCCTCTCATTTATAAAAGTGTACACATTTTTCTTTCATCAATATTATGGGCTTAGACTCCTAATAGTATATTAAAAGAAATTAGATGTGTGATCTGAAAAGATTTGTAATAAATGCATAAAATCTAGCTCAAAGCTTTTTTTCTAATATTTTAAAATGTATTTTGTAGGGAGTTCCTGGAGATCCCGGAGCGGTTGGCCCATTAGGACCTCGAGTAAGTATTTTCTCCTTTGCAATTAATTCTGTTTTCATTGGCTTCAGTTTTAAAAAAGCACCTTTTATATAAAGTGGGCTTTATTTTAAGTATTAAAATTCTTCCACTTGATGAAAATCAATCTTATAAGAAATATTTTGTGCCGTGAAGCTAGTATAGCCTTACTTCAAGTTCATTTCTTATCACTTAATTAGAAAATTGAGGCTTAATAGTTGCTCATCCCTAAATTTTTCTTCAGTAGAAACCACTCTTCAGATTTCCAAACATATTTTAACCCATTTTTAGATCAAACACTGACAATGTTTGACATTTAATGTTGTGATAGGGAGAACGAGGAAATCCAGGGGAAAGAGGAGAACCAGGAATAACCGGGCTCCCTGGTGAGAAGGGGATGGCTGGAGGACACGGTCCGGATGGTCCGAAAGTAAGTATGGCGGGGAGCTCAGTACTTTAAATGTTCTAAAATTTCTGCTCAATAAACACACAATGATACTAGAATGTTATTTCTCTTGTTGCATGTTATTTGATTACATATAATCTTCTTCAGCAAATATTTAATGAGCACCTACTAGATTTTTCCTTTGCACTAAACAGTCAGCTAAAAGGAAGTATCACTTTTGTGATGGGACATATGACCTAGTACACATAGAAATACATTCTCATATACAGGCCCATTCCTAATATTTATTTATACAAATTTTATTCATGACTTCCATTAATTAATAATGAGAAATAACAAATAGAAAATTGCATAATTAAGAGGTATTCCTAATCACATGCTCCATTTTCCTTGTCTCAAGTTCCACAATTGCACTTCAAAATATATGAAAGTATGTTGGTTTTGAAACCTGAAAATACAATACATCATAAGGCAAAAATCAATACCATTTCCTTTTGGGTACCATTTTAACATTGGTAGAAGACAATGTGGCCAACTTCAGTGCAAACGTTTCAAGTAGAATTTTTTGTGATTATTCAACATTAGATTCCTTACCGTCTTCAAGATCCAAAATGATTGCATAAGATCTGCTTCAATTTAGTCACTGACTGAGCCTGAAAAACAGCTTACTATCATAGGTTTATTACAGAGAGAATAAAATACTCTCTAAATGTAATGTCTTCTTTCTTTGTTAGAATCCCATGATGTTACCAAAAAAAGAAACTCTATCATTTTTATTTGAATCAGTACTCAATTTGCCCAAAGAGAAAAGTTGAAAACATAAACCAACAATCAAAATGGCAAGGTCTGATTTTTTTTAAATTTTAAAATATGAACTCAGAGGCAATTTTCTCAAATAAATAATATAAGCTCTAAGTTAACCATATGAAATTTCTGAGATTCTCTTATTTTTGACAGAAATTTTATTTGGTTCAATCTCAATATATAGGTGAGCTCACTTATTATTGGTTCATTTTAGGGCAGTCCAGGGCCAACTGGAACCCCTGGAGATACAGGCCCACCAGGTCTTCAAGGAATGCCAGGAGAAAGAGGAATTGCAGGGACTCCTGGCCCCAAGGGCGACAGAGTAAGTCTCATTTCTTTAGTTATTCATTTAGATTTTCTACTGATAATGATTTCTGGGGCAGACTTTTACTTCTACCATCCTGAGTCACAAATCATTCATTCATTTAAAAAAATTATTAAATTTATTTGGGTGACATTGGTTAGTAAAATTATATCGGTTTCAAGTATACAATTATATAATACATCATCTGTACATTGCGTTGTGTGTTCACCATCCAGTCAGCTCCCCTTCCATCACCACATATTTTTTAATACATTTATTGAAAGAATGCACAGTGTCTGGCATTGTTCTAGGCTCATGGGGATACAGCTATGAACAGAAGAGAGAAATCCCTGCTTTCGTGAACTTCCAATCAAGTGTGGAAAAAAGACAACTAAATGAGTAAATGGTGTTCTGTGTGTTTTCCCAGGGTGGCATAGGAGAGAAAGGTGCTGAAGGCACAGCTGGAAATGATGGAGCAAGAGTAAGTATAATCATTCCTTTTCCCACCGGGCTAGGTAGGAATCGACATTATCATTATCATATGGATTTGCCTGAACTTTCTAGAATAAAGTTCATCGTGTTCCCATGGTGATCAGAACGATAAATTTTGAGATTTGACATTGATCAACCATAAATACTCATTTTGCTTACCTTGAGTTAGGGCAAGCCAAAAAGTAAAGTCATTGTTGAGAGACCACTACTTTAAGTGGTGGGCCTTCTTTTATCTTTCTCTATCATCTTTTTTTATTTCATATGAAGTGTTTATTCTAATAGAATGCTGATCCAATGAGCTGTTATAGACTTCATTCCAGTGCAGGCAAGTGGAGTTTTGTGGAGTAGTCAGAGTTGTGATAAACATTTCTCAGGAACTGGATGTCAGTGGTGAGAAAAGTACTGCCTGATGAATCGTCATAAATGCTTTCATAAATAAACAGGCTGAATAAGTGAACTGTAAAGAAAGATGGTTGATTTCCAAAGCAATGTTTAATATCATGTCAGAAATTGGCACTTAACAAACTTTAGGTCCTCAAAAATAGAATGCATTTGCAATTCCAAGGAAATCAGACAAACAGATTAAAAATGTATTTTCAGACATGAATGATTCCTGTAAGGGCAGGTAGTTGCAGTTGCTCAGACATTCACCATTTCCTGAAATAATTCCTAATCATTGATAAATATCTTCTGTTTCAGTATAAAATGGTTTGTTGTTATGTTGTCATGGTGTGACCTGGCAATAGCAATTGTACACATAAAAAAAGAGATCACACTAGGCTACTATTAATATATTGCTTCTACACATTAAGTCACTGTTACTACATTGATTATTTTAGCTTTTGATTAAAAAAAAATATATATATAGAAAAGTTTTAGCCTTAGTGGTAATTGCCCCTTTATCCTGAAAAGCTAATCACTTAGTTTAGCAAATTATGGACGTGTAATGTGTCTTGTCTTTTATTTAAATCTAATATTTGATTTAATATTTCAAAAAATGGTCTAAGTAAAGCAGGTATGTTGTGTCATGAATGGTATGGAGTGTATAGTAAGTAGTGCAGCACTGTTTGAAGGCAAAATACATTGACAGTTTATTTTAAGGGGAAATCTGAAATGCATATTTATTGTTCTTATGAACTACTTTGAAAATGCAATGTAATAGGATCAAAACTTAAACAATGACTGCTTTATTTTTAGCGAGGGCAATGTGTTTTTTTTAAAAAGAAAAAACAGCATTTGCAGTAATCTTACAGTAAAGGAAAAAAATGAACAACACATGTGAAAAATATGTCTGTGAATTTAATAAGTGATCTTTATATTTAATCAAATCCTTTAAGGAAGTATAGTAGGTAAATTATGGGAAGAATATTGTTCCCATTATAAATCCAGAGAATTTAATACTATAGTTTTCTCATGTTCTTTTTAAAATTATAAAATTAAAAAGTCATTTTGGTTCCTTAAGTTTCTTCAGTAATACATGCAGGGATTAAATGACAAAAGAATATTTGGGCTGCATATGAAGAGGCAATACACAAATATCAGAGAGAAAAGATGTTTTTGAAAGAACTCCAGTATAGTCCAGGAGTGTAAATATTGTGACCACATGTACAGAAGACCCACTTTTATCCCCATGGGGTAGCCCCCTGTGCTCTGAGCAAAAGAACCCCATCATCTCAGTGTGGCTGGGTAGTGACACTTCTTTCCATCTCAGAGGAATGTAGAAAATGAAATGCTTTATTACAATTTTACTTTTTTAAAATAAAAGAGGGATATTTTGCTAGTATATTATAATTTAATGATATAGAATTCTATACAAAAGAAGAAAAGTCTCTTTTTAGTCTATACTCAAATTTCAAATAGGTAGTAGCAAAATTCAATAGGCTAGAAACGGAAACACTGATAAAGAACAGCATTCACTTAAAACTAATGTTTGAAGACATATAGGGATGAGCTGAACGGGATGAAAGAGATTAAAACATTCTCTGGAGAAAATTCAATGGAAATTGTTTTAGACTAGGTAGAAAAATCTTGAGAATATACAGATTATATCATTTATTATAGGTAATATTTTGCAAAAACGGCCACACAATAACAAAACAGCCCCTTCTTTGTTTGTTTAAACATGGAGACTTCCGTGCATTCTTTCTCTCAACATGCCTATGTTCTGTTAATTAACAGGGTCTCCCAGGCCCCTTGGGTCCTCCAGGTCCTGCAGGCCCCACTGGAGAAAAGGTAATGTCATGTCATAAGTTGTTATTTTGTGAACTCAGAATCATGAAGTCTGGATGCGGGCTCTTTTTCATAATGTTTTCTCTTTCATAAAATGGGGTAGTCGGATTAGATCATCTCAGAGTTCTCCCCAATATCTGCCCCACACACAGTGCCCAACATCCTACAGTTGTATTATGTTTTGCTACTGTTTTGGACAATAACCATCGAAAAATCTGCTTTCTAGGGTGAACCTGGTCCTCGAGGTTTGGTTGGCCCTCCTGGCTCCCGTGGCAATCCTGTAAGTGACAGTATTTTGATGGTCTTTTGTATGACCATGAGCAGTAAAACAATTCATCATTTTGACTTAATATTTATATAAAATCATGACTATTGGATTAGACTACTTATAACTTCCTGATTTTTAACTTTTACTTTTCTCATTTAATTTAAAACATTATTAGTGTATTATTCTTGTGCAATCTATTAAGTCTAGGTAAGCAACTCAACTAATTAATGAAGAGACTTTGAGACTTCAGGCCTTGAAAATTTTGTTCTATGACCCTTATCTCTATATCACATTTAAGGGTCTTCCTCATGCAATATGTCTAATTTCACTCTATATAATTTCAAGATACTGCAAATTTATATCATTGCATTTTCAAATATCATTTCTGTTTAGTTAACGTGTGAAAGCTATAGTAATCTTTGCCTTCTAGGGTTCTCGTGGTGAAAATGGACCGACTGGTGCTGTTGGCTTTGCTGGACCCCAGGTATAATTTTCAAATATCTCTTCTTTACAAAGAACATTCCTCTTGTTAGAGCATGCATTTAGTTAATTATCATTGCCATATGTTTTGAAGGTATATTAAAGATTTTGGAAAGTTTTCAGTTTTCTAGGCAATATTATCATTTCCAATACATTTTTTTCATGGATTGGCACAAAAAAATGGATGAGTTTGCACAGTTTCAAATTCTATACTTATTTATTATACTAAAAAATATGGTAGAATAACATTTTTTTCAGCCTGTCTTTAAAAATCTCATTAGGTTGTTTTTTTTTTCTATGCTTTAATACTGATTGTAAAGCACTAATTTACAGTATGTGATAAAATGATATATTAGTAATAATTACTGTGAAATAATTTGTTGATAAGTGTTATAATCAATTGCTTATTTATACAATTGACATAGGGTCCCGATGGGCAGCCTGGAGTAAAAGGTGAACCTGGAGAGCCAGGACAGAAGGGAGATGCCGGCTCTCCTGGGCCCCAAGGTCTAGCAGGCTCCCCAGGTCCTCATGTAAGCAAAAAAAAAAACAACAAAAAAAGACAACTTGGTCCCAGTGCCCAATGCTTAAACCTGTGTTTAGCCCATTTTACTTTACTACAGTGATATTTTGTTTGCTTCTTTCTCTATAGGGTCCTAATGGTGTTCCTGGACTAAAAGGTGGTCGAGGAACTCAGGGTCCACCTGTAAGTTGGTTTGAAGCTCTGGGAATTACACAGTTAGTCAGGATATCTAGCGCTTCGTGGCCATTTTAAAGTTAATCTGAAGCTATAACAACACATTTTTACTTGTATAACTGTTCTGTAATAGAAAGGACATTTAACTGCTTAGATGGAAATCTGGGTAAAAATTATGATCTTGAAGACCTAGCTGCATCATATGTAATATAAATAATATATTACCTGTGGAAGAGGCAATGAATAATGTGGAAGCACTTTGTATAATTCTGTTACATAAAATATTAATGTGATTTTAGCCCTAGCCTTAAACATACTTGTATATGTTTAAGATAAATGGAAAGTGGAAAGAGAAAAATATCGTACTTCCTACCAATTAATCTAGATCCATTCTAAAAAACATAGGATACAAATATATATATATATATATATATATATATATATATATATATATATATATATATATATTGATCACAACAAAGAAGGGAATCTAAAGGCCTACGTATCCTTGTGAGAAAAAATAGATCCCAGAAAGCATATATAACTGTCATTTTAAAATTGCTTATATGATATTATATTTCTAGGGTGCTACAGGGTTTCCTGGTTCTGCTGGCAGAGTTGGACCTCCAGGACCTATTGTAAGTCAATACAGTAATTCAGATCATTGATAGTGGAGCAATTATCCCTTCCCCCCCCACACACACACAAAGAAATGCACATAAACACACATATGCAGAGGGTACCAAAAAAAATATATATGTATACATTTTAAGAAAGGAAAACTGTATTAAAATTGTAATACTCAATATATACCAATAGCAAAAGATGAGTACAAGTCACATTTGACTTCTGCAATTACAAGAGGTGCTCAAGGTGGTTACCATCAGCGTCCAGACACTTCTGATTACGGTGAACTACTGCTTGAGCAACGTTGACCAAAGTGTCCACTTGTATACATTTTTTTGGCACCCCCAGCATTTACATATTCTATAGATACACATAATTTAATTTTTATTATTTATTCTTTTATTTAATCCATTAGTGATTTGTTTTCTCATGTTAACAACCCTTATCCCGATAATTCATACTAGTATGTTGTCAAACCAAATTCATCTGTAATCATCCAATGTTTCTTAGAAGAGCTCATTTGCAAGTCACTTTTAGCCTCAATATTTGACTGTTATTCTATTTGGTTACTAAATACCAACACTATTGTATGGTAATAATCATTTCTTTCAGTTAGGAAACATCTCTGAAACTCTGTTTAATAAATGTTATTCTTTTATTATAAGATCAGATCAGGCAGAATAAAATGTTATATATTCATTGTTGGAGCAGAGCCTTAGGAAGTTTGAAAAACCAAGTTAATGTCAGCACACTTTTAATAATGACTCATAGGTAATTGTCTGCAAATAATTTAGGCTTTCTTCTGGGAAATGAATCTGCAGCTGTGTTTTGTTTAATTTTGTTTAAATATACAGAATGACTGATTATCTAATGGAAAATATGGGCTTGTGAGACTTGGAAAAGTGCCCCTACAGCAGAGACTGTTGCATCAGTTCCTCCAATGCTGCTTCCACTTTACCCTCCTGGGTTTCTTTTTGTGTTATATTAGGGAGCTCCAGGACCTGCTGGGCCCTTAGGGGAACCCGGGAAGGAGGGACCTCCAGGTCTTCGCGGGGACCCTGGCTCTCATGGGCGAGTGGGAGATCGAGGACCAGCTGGCCCCCCTGGTGGCCCAGGGGACAAAGGAGACCCAGGAGAAGATGGGCAACCTGTAAGTCTGGCATGTTTGTTCTACATCACCTCTAATTAAGATATTTACTAATAGAAATCTGTAATAATTACTGTCACAAACAAACTGTTTATACATTATCCTGGGCACTTTCATAAATCCTCATGCCCTGTAGGTTTTTAATTTGTCATTCTCTGCTCTAGAAAAGAAGTTATCTGTATAAATATAAAAATATAACAGTATTGGATATGGTGTTCAAAATCTAAACACGAATACATTCTTTCTTATATATGTGCACTGTATGAAGAAACATTTTATTTATTTATTAAATTTTATTTAATATCCAAATGCTTCTAAATATCAGCGTGCTTAGATCAGTAATATTTCTCTAGTTTTACAATTTGCCTTTTTAAAATAAGGAAAATTATTTGCTTGAATAGTCACCTCTTTTATTTCATCAATATTCATATTAATCTTCAAGTTCTTTTTCAACTGATGAACTGTTTTTACTTTTAAATAATGTGAGAGGTTTTGTGTGGATTATAAATTATGACTGCTCATATATAGTATGGTTTACACAGCAGATAACTTTTTCTTAGGCTAAAAAAACCCCTGTAAAGCTATGATTTATTGTAAAGGTCTTGAGTACAGTTTTACCCTGGAGAATTTCTAATTCTGGTTTATCCTCAAAATTAGGGTCCAGATGGTCCCCCTGGTCCAGCTGGAACTACTGGGCAGAGAGGAATTGTTGGCATGCCTGGGCAACGGGGAGAGCGAGGCATGCCTGGCCTGCCAGGACCAGCGGTGAGTCGCTGCATTGGTCAATATTTCACTTCATTATGTGCAATATCATTTGTGAAGGGAGAATGTATTTTTTTTTTTTTTTGCTTAATAGTTTTAAAGTCTCTTTTAGGCACAAATTCTGGGTATCTTAAAAACCTATCGACTTTAAATGTCAAATTCTTAACTTAAGTATCTCACGAAGTCTTTGGGAAAAGTATTTATTTAACCTTGGGACTAGGGAAGTAGACAAATAAGGATATGGAGTTTTGGTGACTCTAAATCTTTTTTCAAAGATTAAAAATATCAAAGGAGCTAGAGAAGGGAAATCATCTCCTGGTAAGCAGGTAGCCTCTGTTTAAATAAACACACCTAATGAACAAAGATCCAGATTTCACAGTTCAGAGAGTAAGTTTTCACAAACTATCACAGGGAAGAAGTAGTTGAGCTAAAGCAACATTGAAGGTGAAAGTGGGGTGAACTATAAAGAGGGACTTTAAAGTAATCTCATGTTCCCTGGAGGGTACTAAGAATCTTATATTCCCTGGAGTATGGATAAAAGTTTGACTCACTATTAGCTTTGAAAAAACTTCATTTTACTGCTGGAAGTTTATATGCTTGCAAAAAAAATTGATGATTTTATATAAAGTGTTGACAGTAAATGTACTGCTGGGACCTTAGAATTGGGGGAAAGGAGGGTAAAAGATCTGAAACCAGCAAACCAGGAATTAAGGGATGTCTTATTTTTATCAGAAGTGAGCCAAGTACCTGGAATAAAATCTCCCAATAGTGAGATGATAGTACGAGGATATAGACATAAAGTGAGCAGAGCAGACAGGCAGGAGTAAATAAGGATCGGCATGTCTCACTAGTGATGCTCATTGCAGGACAGCCGGAATTGACCATACGAGTTCTGATAATTAAGTTCACGAACTTGTTGTAACAATGTTGCTAACCTTTTTTGATATCACAGGGATTATTCATTATGAATTAGTACCAACTGGACAAACAGTTAACCAAATTTACTGTTTGGAATTGCTGAAAAGGCTGTGTGAAAAAGTTAGACGACCTGAACTTTTCGCCAAC